TGCAAGCATACTGCTGTGTCAGTGTTTGCGTCCAACACACCGCGGCTGCCACGTACATAGGGCTGTCTTCATCGAACTTTGATGTATGAACTGTTTGACGTTGGTGACTAAATTCTGACCACTGTACATCTGTGTGTGTTTTCTAGGATTTCCCGTACAACTTCTTGGAAGAAACACAACCGAAACACGAGTTTCTGGCTTCTCTCTGTTCAATACACGTCTCTTGTGTGTTCAATGCACGACTTGTGCATGATCGACTGCTGTCTAGTTAGTTAGCTAGATTATGTTTCTATTATCTTCATCGCATATCGGCAAAGTATAGTGTGTAATGATACTTGTACTAGTACAACTTTCAACGTGTACAGGATTTTGATTTTATGTTATAGACTCATTTTTCATTTTGTACAAGAGATAATCTACACACACAACAGACAACTTGTACAAGCTTATTCGTACATAATAGACTAACTTGTACAGTAATTTTGTACATAGTAGTATAGTAGTAGTACTTGTAAACAGTATTTGAGTATTATATTTGAAATAGACTTATTTTGTACAAAATTTAATATAGACAACGTGTACAAGCTTATATGTACATAGTAGACTTAATTTGTGTACAATATTTTGGTACATAATAGACTCAACTTGTACAGTCTGCACAATAAACTGAATGTGTATGCATAGCTTACTATGGACAGTAGACTAAGCTTTTACACAATTGTGTGTATGCAATAAATTCAACTTGTACAAGATTGTGTGTACACAGTAGATTTGGCTTGTACAAAACTTGATGTGAACAATAGATTCAGTCTGCACACAGTTGTGTGTACACAATAGATTCAGCTTTCACAAAATCCAGTGTACAGAATAGATTCAACATATATGAGATTGTACTCAGCTTATTCAAAATTTGGTGTACATAGTAGATTCAGCTTCTACTAGACTGTGTACATAATAGTCTCATTGTGTACAAAACTTAAGGTAGATAATAGATTCAGCTTGTACAAAATTGTGTGTGCAGGGTAGATTCAGCTTGTACAAGATTGTGTGTGCACAGTAGATTCAGCTTGTACAAGATTGTTTGTACAGAATAGATTATACTTGTATGAGATAGTTTATACATAATAGATTCAACTTGTACACAATTGTATGTACAGGGTAGATTCAGCTTGCACAAATCTTGGTGTACATAACAGATTCAGCTTCTACAATATAGCATGTACTCACTAGTACAAATTGTACATGACTGTGTGTACGTAATAGTCAAACATTTACAGGATTTAGTCATACTGCAAGGTTCAGTCATCATAGACAAGATTTAATATACACCTTGTGTACAATTTTAAGTACAGACTAGTGTGACATGTACACAGTTTAGTTTACATGTGTGATTTAACTTGTACATACTTAAATTAAATGTACACAAAAGTTGCAGCATTTACATTATCCAAGACTTTTTTCATTATGCATTCTGAACCTGATAACCCACTGCCTACCCAAAAGCATGTCGTAAGAGTTGACTAATTGGGAGCTTCCTTCCAAGTCAGAGTGCAACTGCCTGAGAGGTAAGGAACCAACAGTCTGTATACAAAGGAATCAGATCTGTGAAACGGATGTGCACGCAACACTCAGGTTCTGGAACAGGACTGCAGTCCAGAAGTGGATGAACAACCAGACATTTCTGCTAGAGTTTACAGCTGGTGAGAGTGAAGAAAAAGCAGAAGAACCCAATAAATTGTATTAGATTTAATATACATTGAAGACTACAACTTACATTCTGAACTTCATAAATGACACCAGATTTACTTGTAAAAGATTCTCTGTGCATTTTGAACTTCATAAAACATACAAACTGCAGCGTACATTGAAGACTGGATGACTTGTACAAGGTGCATTATATATTTTGGACTTCGTTAATTGTACTAGCTTTCCTGTGTACATTCAAGACTTAACAACTTGTGAAAATTTAGTGTACATTGAAGATCCAACAACGTGTACAAGATTTTGTGTACATACAGTACGGATACATCCACCTAGCAGCTCTGCTTATGGATGCTGAAGGTATATCTGTCCAGTTAAATATTTTTAAAAAAACTTTATCGTTTATTAACTTTTAGATGCTACTTTTTAAAGTCGGTGTGGGGCGGGATGGTAATAATTAACCCAAGCATTTGTTTATCATCTTAGCATTCGCCGGCTGTAAGCTATGACATAAAGTTCTGGTTGTTCGTCCACTCCTGGACTTTGGTCTTGATTCAGAACTTGAGTTTTGTGTGCACATCTGTTTTACAGATCTGCCTTGGTATTTTTATCAGAGTGTTTGTACCTTGGCTCTCAGACAGGTATACCTTGATTTAGAAGGAAATGTCTAATTAACCACCTACAGCATGCTTTTCTGCGGGGGGAGGGGGGGGGGGTGGATACAGTGGGTCTATTTTTCACCTAAAAAAATGGGGCCTCAGGACTCCCAAAGGGTTAAATTCTGAGGATTGAAGGTTGTATCTCCATGGCCAAATCCTCGAACCATTTACCTTGTTTCCTGAAAGTTGTAGGTTTAAGGCTGCATCTCCATAGTGAAGTCAAACAACCATTTACTTTGTGCCTTAAAAGTTGTGGCTTCAAGGCTGTCTCTCCATGGCAAAGTCAAACAACCATTTACCTTATGCCCTGAAAGTTATGGGTTTGAGTCTGTACCTCCATGGCCAAGTGGTCAAACAGCCATTTACTTTGTGCCCTGAAAGTTATAGGTTCAAGGCTATATCTCCATAGTGAAGTCAAACAACCATTTACTTTGTGCCTTAAAAGTTATGGGTTTAAGGCTGTCTCTCCATGGCGAAGTTAAACAACAATTTACCTTGTGCCCTGAAAGTTGTAGCTCTGTTTGATCCACTGGGTTGTTCGGTTAATGAGTGCAATTTATGTGGAGATCCTTGGGGATTGTCATCAGAGCTGTGGAGTTTGTGCTGTGTACCGACTCTCTTGCTAGGCAGCTGGTTGTAACCGGGAGAGAAACCAAACCATGTAGGATCAAATCTGGTGCAGTAAAGTAAACTTGTAACCTGTTTAGGTTAGTATAGTAACTGTAAATTGTTCAGGTTCTGATTTTGTTTTTTCATTTTCTAAGAAGAGGACAAGGAAAAAGGAGATTGGTTAGTTAGTTGTCAGATGATCCTCATTGCACATTGAACCATTCTGTCCTTAAGTACTAGGATCCCTTGATCTTCATTGCACATTGAACCGTTCTGTCCTTAAGTACTAGGATACCCTGATCCTCATTGCACATTGAACCATTCTGTCCTTAAGTACTAGGATCCCCTGATCCTCTTTGCACATTGAACCATTCTGTCCTTAAGTACTAGGATCCCCTGATCCTCATTGCACATTGAACCTTTCTGTCCTTAAGTACTAGGATCCCCTGATCCTCATTGCACATTGAACCACTGTCCTTAAGTACTAGGATCCCCTGATCCTCATTGCACATTGAACCATTCTGTCCTTAAGTACTAGGATTCCCTGGATCCTCATTGCACATTGAACCATTCTGTCCTTAAGTACTAGGATCCCTGGATCCTCATTGCACATTGAACCATTCTGTCCTTAAGTACTAGGATCCCCTGATCATCATTGCCCATTGAACCATTCTGTCCTTAAGTACTAGGATCCCCTCCTTAATAAATCAGGCAGTGCACAGCGGCTGATGACACTAGTTCTATGTTGGTTTCTTGTTTCTTGTTTGGCTTCCTGCATAGTGCTCTTGTCTGGCCACATCCCTTGTTACTTGCCGTTCTGGTTCATCACTTAGGTCTCTTACATGTCTTACTTCTTGCTGATCATTCAGAATATCAGCCTGCATGGAAGGAGGAGGTGACAGGAAAAAAGGTGAGGATGAGATTGAAAAGAAGTGGAAGAATAAACGAAGATAAAAAAGGGGAATAAAAAGATAACGGAGAGTAAGAGCATGTTTTTCTTCTTTTGTCAGTATCTGCTTTGTACAATTTAAAAGATAATAGGAGTCCGAGAATGCAAGAGTGTTAGAACATGAAGGGGCAGACAGATTGACTGGTTCTGCACCAAGGGTTGGTGAATATGTGCATGAATAGCTAGATGTGGGCAAGAGCCTTTGGGTGTGTGTGTGTGTGAACATTGAAGAGGCACAAAAAGATCATTATGGTCTGGGAGGTGTGGTACAGCTGGGAGTGTCCAGGGGATCTATTCAGTACTCAGAGGAGAGGCGAGACACACACACAGTTTGAGTGTTACTGCTACCACTGGAATTAGAACTTTCTTAGCTGGCTGCTGAAGATGAGGACGGAGCACTTATTGGAAAGTCCTGAGTATTGTGATGTCAGTTGTTAGCTCAACTCACAGTGTACCGTCTATCTGTCCTGTTCATCCGCCAATTAGTCAGTTCACCTGCAAACCACCCCACCCTCTCTCTTCCCTACCTCTGTCTCACTCTGTCTCTCTGTCTCTCTCTCTCTCTGTCTCTCTAACAAACTCCGCTGTCTGGTCGGCTGTGGTGGTATTAAGTCTCAGGCTGTCAGTGACTCTCTGTCCACCTTGTAGTCTCCGTCTGCCCTCCCCCCCCCCTTTAAATTATTTTCCACTCGTTTAGTAGCATTGGGCATATAGGGCTAGACCTATATTTTATAGACCAATCGGCACTTGGTTGATGATCTGGTCAACATTATGCTGACGGCCTTTACTTCCCAAGACTGTACCTGGTACCCATTTAAGGCTGGGTCGACCTGGGAGCCAAGGTCATTTTCAAGTGAAGCTCCGTCATGACCTGAACCCAAAACCTTTAGATCTGCAGGCGAGCGTCTAATCTAACCACTAAACCTCCCCCTCCGCCTCTTGGTGTTTCCCTTTGCATGTTTTAAACTCTTACTGCCAGAAGCTTGGATTCATTCTCACTGGGTGGCTAAACCATTTCAGTCCTTGTTTGTCATTGAATGCAACCATATATAATTAATTGTTTTTCAATTCTTTCTGTTCAGGGTCTAGTCCAGTGTTGAGCAGAGATGAAAGAGCCATGAGAATGAGGAACCGGGTGCGCAAAAAACTGCAGCAGCGCCGCGTCACTTCCAATGAAGGCTTCTACCCCGGCACTCGACCACAAACTGGGAGAAGAAGCAGGGGTAGGCAACATTTAATTTTTTTAGGGAATCTCTCTGGAAACTGATGAGGTTCTGTTGAATCCCACAGAAAATTGACTTAGTAAAAGCAACATATGAAAAATTTTTTTATTCTTATTCAATGGATCAACATGGCACACTGGTGTAATCCATAAGTGCTCATTTCTACTTCTTACTCAAGTCTGAGTCCAAAGAATCTTAGCACAGTGCATGAACTCCTTAGCATCGGCGAGGAGCCTGAAAATACTTTGGGTAGATTTTAAAATCCAAATTTTTTTCTGGGAAGCGCGGTTAGTCTACTGTTTTTTATTTCCAACTGCCAAGGAATTTTGTAACGTGCGCAACAGTAGACGTCCGAGCTTACCGGAGACCAGGGGAAATTACTAAAGTCCATGCAAAAAAAAAAATCCCAGCCTTCAGTGAGGCTTGAACCCGGGACCTACAGCACTCAAGGCAAATGCCATGCCTCTAGACCGCCCCCCCCCCCCCCCCCCCCCCCCCCCCCCGATTTATGAAGACAAGAAATGCCAAGTTCTTCAGAAAGGAAAGCTAACAAATAAAGTAAGAAAAGGTGTCGGACAGGGGTTTATTTTCTCACCTGTTCTATTTCTACCGACACTAGACTGCATTATTAAGACAGTAGCCGTTAACGCCAGGAATAGAATTCAATGGATCCCTACAAAACAGCTTGATGACTTGAACTTTGCACCTGAAATCAAATGCAAAATAAATATACTTGATGCAAGATAACTATACTTGATGCAAGATAAATATACTTGATGCAAGATAAATATACTTGATGCAAGATAACTATACTTGATGCAAGATAAATATACTTGATGCAAGATAAATATACTTGATGCAAGATAAATATACTTGATGCAAGATAAATATACTTGATGCAAGATAACTATACTTGATGCAAGATAAATATACTTGATGCAAGATAAATATACTTGATGCAAGATAAATATACTTGATGCAAGATAAATATACTTGATGCAAGATAAATATACTTGATGCAAGATAAATATACTTGATGCAAGATAACTATACTTGATGCAAGATAACTATACTTGATGCAAGATCACTATACTTGATGCAAGATAACTATACTTGATGCAAGATAACTATACTTGATGCAAGATAACTATACTTGATGCAAGATAACTATATACTTGATGCAAGATAACTATATACTTGATGCAAGATAACTATACTTGATGCAAGATAACTATACTTGATGCAAGATAACTATACTTGATGCAAGATAACTATATACTTGATGCAAGATAACTATATACTTGATGCAAGATAACTATATACTTGATGCAAGATAACTATACTTGATGCAAGATAACTATACTTGATGCAAGATAACTATACTTGATGCAAGATAACTATACTTGATGCAAGATAACTATACTTGATGCAAGATAACTATACTTGATGCAAGATAACTATACTTGATGCAAGATAACTATACTTGATGCAAGATAACTATACTTGATGCAAGATAACTATACTTGATGCAAGATAACTATACTTGATGCAAGATAACTATACTTGATGCAAGATAACTATACTTGATGCAAGATAACTATACTTGATGCAAGATAACTATACTTGATGCAAGATAACTATACTTGATGCAAGATAACTATACTTGATGCAAGATAACTATACTTGATGCAAGATAACTATACTTGATGCAAGATAACTATACTTGATGCAAGATAACTATACTTGATGCAAGATAACTATACTTGATGCAAGATAACTATACTTGATGCAAGATAACTATTCTTGATGCAAGATAACTATACTTGATGCAAGATAACTATACTTGATGCAAGATAACTATTCTTGATGCAAGATAACTATACTTGATGCAAGATAACTATACTTGATGCAAGATAACTATACTTGATGCAAGATAACTATACTTGATGCAAGATAACTATACTTGATGCAAGATAACTATACTTGATGCAAGATAACTATACTTGATGCAAGATAACTATACTTGATGCAAGATAACTATACTTGATGCAAGATAACTATACTTGATGCAAGATAACTATACTTGATGCAAGATAACTATACTTGATGCAAGATAACTATACTTGATGCAAGATAACTATACTTGATGCAAGATAACTATACTTGATGCAAGATAACTATACTTGATGCAAGATAACTATACTTGATGCAAGATAACTATACTTGATGCAAGATAACTATACTTGATGCAAGATAACTATACTTGATGCAAGATAACTATACTTGATGCAAGATAACTATACTTGATGCAAGATAACTATACTTGATGCAAGATAACTATACTTGATGCAAGATAACTATACTTGATGCAAGATAACTATACTTGATGCAAGATAACTATACTTGATGCAAGATAACTATACTTGATGCAAGATAACTATACTTGATGCAAGATAACTATACTTGATGCAAGATAACTATACTTGATGCAAGATAACTATACTTGATGCAAGATAACTATACTTGATGCAAGATAACTATACTTGATGCAAGATAACTATACTTGATGCAAGATAAATATACTTGATGCAAGATAAATATACTTGATGCAAGATAAATATACTTGATGCAAGATAAATATACTTGATGCAAGATAAATATACTTGATGCAAGATAAATATACTTGATGCAAGATAAATATACTTGATGCAAGATAAATATACTTGATGCAAGATAAATATACTTGATGCAAGATAAATATACTTGATGCAAGATAAATATACTTGATGCAAGATAAATATACTTGATGCAAGATAAATATACTTGATGCAAGATAAATATACTTGATGCAAGATAAATATACTTGATGCAAGATAAATATACTTGATGCAAGATAAATATACTTGATGCAAGATAGATATACTTGATGCAAGATAGATATACTTGATGCAAGATAGATATACTTGATGCAAGATATACTTGATGCAAGATAGATATACTTGATGCAAGATAGATATACTTGATGCAAGATAGATATACTTGATGCAAGATAGATATACTTGATGCAAGATAGATATACTTGATGCAAGATAGATATACTTGATGCAAGATAGATATACTTGATGCAAGATAGATATACTTGATGCAAGATAGATATACTTGATGCAAGATAGATATACTTGATGCAAGATATACTTGATGCAAGATAAATATACTTGATGCAAGATAAATATACTTGATGCAAGATAAATATACTTGATGCAAGATAAATATACTTGATGCAAGATAAATATACTTGATGCAAGATAAATATACTTGATGCAAGATAAATATACTTGATGCAAGATAAATATACTTGATGCAAGATAAATATACTTGATGCAAGATAAATATACTTGATGCAAGATAAATATACTTGATGCAAGATAAATATACTTGATGCAAGATAAATATACTTGATGCAAGATAAATATACTTGATGCAAGATTACATAAAACTAGGTCTAAAAATTCATAGAAAGACAAAGATAGTGAGAATAAATCAGGCAAATAGTCTTGTGGTTTCCCTTAGTTGTATCTGACTCCAAAATGTAGAGTCATACACCTGCTTGAGTCATACACCTGCTTGGGCACTTATGTAGTCATACACCTGTTTGGGCACTTATGTAGAGTCATACACCTGTTTGGGCACTAATGTAGATAAGGATGGGGAAACTGATAGAGATATAAAAATGTGAAAACAAAAAGCAAGAGGAGCTTTCATAGCACTGGTAAATTTCTGGAGGTTAGAAGAAATTAAAACTAATACTCAATTACAAATTTTACTTCTAATGTAAAGTAAGTTTTGCTGTTTAGAGGGAAAACATAGAGAGCAGCTAAAATGGTTCCTAATAAACTGCCAACATTCATTAACTGGTGTTTCAGCAGAAAAGAGGGAATTAAATGGTATGATAGAACCACCAATGCAGAGCTTTGGGTGAGAACTTAACAAGCTCCATTAGACCAAGAGGTGAAGAAAAGATGCAGGCTTTAGATAGGACAAATGTTGAGAAAACCTGAGAACAAGATAACTAGAATGTCTTTGCACTGGAACCCACAGGGGCATAGAAATAAAAGCAGACCAAAAAACACATGGAGAAGGGAGCTAAAGAGTGAAGTTAAAAAGATTGGGATGAATCAGCAGTTCTTCTCCTCCTTTTTTTTTTCTAGTCCTATATTTTCAGCCCCAGGTTTTGAAGAGGCATCATATATGAGCCTTAGTATGTGCTACTGGTATTAACGGCCTCAGATATTCCCTGTCTATTGTTTGTATGGGCAGCCTCTGGAATCGACAGTCTACATACAGATAAGATAGATTCTGTATAATAGATCTACACCCAGAACCAGGTTCTAAAACAGGATGAATGCAGAAGTGCTGGTATCCCCCCCCCTCTCCCCCTCCTTTTTTAGGATGAAATTGTTCGTTATTTAAAGCCCTACTCTGGCTTTTGCCAGGGGTCGCAATATAGCCTGGCTACAAATAAAGGCTAAACTCGGTTTCTGGGACCTCTCCACGGTGATCCTCACCCACATGGTGGCACATTGTGTCATCGGGTGTTTATTGCTTGTGTGATGTCCTGGTGGGGTTTAAAGTCGGTCAGTCAGAAGTGCTGGAGCAACCAAAGTTTTCCACTGGAGTTTACAGCTGGACTACATGAAGACAAAGAAGAAGAAGAAGATGTTAACCAAGTTTTACTGTATTTGTAATACTCATCTTTTTTTGTTTCCCAATTTAGTGAATGAGGAAATGGGTTTTCATGGTGAGATGGGACTGTCGCCTGGCCAGGGCACTGTGTTAGACAATGGGCCGTTAGATATTGAGGAGGAGAATTCCATGCTGATTCAGTGTCTGTCTGCCATGCCTGCTCCTAAGGTAAATCAATCAATCTTTCTTTTGTTAACTGAGGTGGCACAGAATTCTCCAGAGATATATAAATTGTATCCTGATGTACAGAAGTGAATCATGGACAGTTGCACTCTTAGTGAACATTTATGTTGAAGTGAAGGAAATGTGGTTTTATAGGCAAGTGATGACAACACCTTGGACAGGTTTAAAAAAAGAGTAATGATGTCGTCTGAAAAAAAGTTGACTCACAAAGAGAGATGACGGTGCTTTCCAAATATCCTACCCCAAACAGGGGAAATCCACAGGTCACAGGACAGTCTAATATTCCAGGGGGTGGTAGATAGACTGTATGCAGTCGTGGTATCTAGGCTGCACTCTCTTGTGGGCCGTAGTTGGGGCCAGTTCTACATATCTTGGGGTCGTTAAATGCATTAGAAACTGCAAGTTAACTATCTGTAAATTGTCTATCAGTTAGTCAGCTGTCAAGTTAACTATCTGTAAATCGTCTATCAGTCAGCTGTCAAGTTAACTATCTGTAAATCATCTATCAGATAGTCAACTATCAAGTTAACTGTCTGTAAATTATCTATCAGATAGTCAACTATCAAGTTAACTGTCTGTAAATCATCTATCAGATATTCAACTATCAAGTTAACTGTCTCTAAATCATCTATCAGATAGTCAACTACCAAGTTAACTATCTGTAAATCATCTATCAGATAGTCAACTATCAAGTTAACTGTCTCTAAATCATCTACCAGATAGTCAACTATCAAGTTAACTGTCTCTAAATCATCTATCAGTTGATCAACTATCAAGTTAACTATCTAAATCATCTATCAGATAGTCAACTGTCAAGTTAACTATCTAAATCATCTATCAGATAGTCAACTGTCAGGTTAACTATCTGTAAATCGTCTATCAGTTAGTCAGCTGTCAAGTTAACTATTTAAATCATCTATCAGATAGTCAACTGTCAAGTTAACTATCTAAATCATCTATCAGATAGTCAACTGTCAAGTTAACTGTCTAAATCATCTATCAGATAGTCAGCTGTCAAGTTAACTATTTAAATCATCTATCAGATAGTCAACTATCAAGTTAACTGTCTCTAAATCATCCATCAGATAGTCAGCTATCAAGCTGTCTCTAAATAATCTATCTGTAAGCCAGTTGTAAACTTGGGCGGAAAGTTCTGGTTGTTTGTCCACCTTTGGGAGTTAATCTTGTTCTAGAAGCTAAGTCTTGCATGTACATCCAGTTTACAGATCTGGCTTTTTTGTGTGCAGACTCTTGGTTCCTTGCCTTTTAGGCAGATGCACTCCACTTTTCAAGGATAGTATATGCCAAAATGAATGTGTTGAGCTGAAAGGTGCTGATATCACAGCCTAACTGTACACCACAACACAAGTTGCCAACAGCCTTTGTAGCATGAACATACCAGAACAAGAAGTCTCTTCAACCTTTGGCTTGATAATTCTACCTGGAAGTGTCTTGATTTAGGTCACAGGGGTGGAGGCTCGCACCAGCCTCATCCAGTTATCTCCACCTGATTGCGATGGTGCCGAGGTTGACCTTGACCTCTACGATGTCAAGTATGAACTGCTGCTGTCGGACAAGGGCCGGGATGCCAAATATAAAACTGTCTTTTGGTGAGTCTTATGTGTCTGTTTATTCTTAGTCTTGTAGACATGTGTCTGGTCACCCTTAGTCTTGTAGACATGTGTCTGGTCACCCTTAGTCTTGTAGACATGTCTGTTCACCCTTAGTCCTGTAGACATGTCTGGTCACCCTTAGTCTTATAGATATGTGTCTGTTCACCATTAGTATTGTAAACATATCTGTCTGTTCACCCTTAGTCTTATAGACATGTCTATTCACCCTTTGTCTTATAGACATGTGTCTATTCACCCTTAGTCTTATTGACATGTGTCTGTTTACCCATAGTGTTATAGACATGTGTCTGTTCATCCTCAGTCTTATAGACATGTCTGTCTGTTTACCCATAGTGTTATAGACATGTGTCTGTTCACCCTTAGTCTTATAGACATGTGTCTGTTCACCCTTAGTCTTGTAGACATGTCTGTCTGTTTACCCACAGTGTTATAGACATGTGTCTATTTACCCTTTGTCTTATAGATATGTGTCTGTTCACTCTTAGTCTTATAGATATGTGTCTGTTCACTCTTAGTCTTATAGATATGTGTCTATTCACTCTTTGTCTTATAGATATGTGTCTATTCATCCTTAGTCTTATAGATATGTGTCTATTCATCCTTAGTCTTATAGATATGTGTCTATTCACTCTTTGTCTTATAGATATGTGTCTGTTCACCCTTAGTCTTATAGACATGTGTCTGTTCACCCTTAGTCTTATAGACATGTGTCTGTTCACTCTTTGTCTTATAGATATGTGTCTATTCATCCTTAGTCTTATAGATATGTGTCTATTCATCCTTAGTCTTATAGATATGTGTCTATTCACTCTTTGTCTTATAGATATGTGTCTGTTCACCCTTAGTCTTATAGACATGTGTCTGTTCACCCTTAGTCTTATAGACATGTGTCTGTTCACCCTTAGTCTTATAGACATGTGTCTATTCATCCTTAGTCTTATAGATATATGTCTGTTCACCCTTAGTCTTATAGATATGTGTCTGTTCACCCTTAGTCTTATAGACATGTGTCTATTCATCCTTAGTCTTATAGATATGTGTCTGTTCACCCTTAGTCTTATAGACATGTGTCTATTCATCCTTAGTCTTATAGATATGTGTCTGTTCACTCTGTCTTATAGATATGTGTCTGTTCACCCTTAGTCTTATAGACATGTCTGTTCACCCTTAGTCTTATAGACATGTCTGTTCACCCTTAGTCTTAGATATGTGTCTGTTCACCCTTAGTCTTTTAGATATGTGTCTGTTCATCCTTAGTCTTATAGACATGTGTCTGTTCACCCTTAGTCTTATAGACATGTCTGTTCACCCTTAGTCTTATAGATATGTGTCTGTTCACCCTTAGTCTTATAGATATGTGTCTGTTCACCCTTAGTCTTTTAGATATGTGTCTGTTCATCCTTAGTCTTATAGACATGTGTCTGTTCACCCTTAGTCTTATAGACATGTCTGTCTGTTTACCCATAGTTTTATAGAGATGTTTGTTCACCCTTAGTCTTATAGACATGTGTCTATTCACCCTTAGTCTTATAGACATGTGTCTGTTTACCCTTAGACATCAGGATATTCACCCGATGACTTTGTCAGAATGCTTACTCAGACTACGAGTAAATTATGGCTCTAAATTTTCACACAGGAAATACTTCTTTAAAAAAAAAAAAGGCGAGGAGGAACCCGTAGGAATTTCTGGGATAAGTTCTAAAAAACAATTTTACATAAAAATGTCGGTAAGTACAAGCAGAACATAAAGCCACTAACTAGGCTTCCCTGGGACAGGCCACTAACTAGGCTTTCCTGGGACAGGCCACTAACTTTACTTCCCTGGGACAGGCCACTAACTAGACTTCCCTGGGACAGGCCACTAACTAGGCTTTCCTGGGACAGGCCACTAACTTTACTTCCCTGGGACAGGCCACTAACTAGACTTCCCTGGGACAGGCCACTAACTAGGCTTTCCTGGGACAGGCCACTAACTAGGCTTTCCTGGAACATGCCACTAACTTTTCTTCCCTGGGACAGACCACTAACTAGACTTCCCTGGGACAGGCCACTAACTAGACTTCCCTGGGACAGGCCACTAACTAGACTTCCCTGGGACAGGCCACTAACTAGGCTTTCCTGGAACAGGCCACTAACTTTACTTCCCTGGGACAGGCCACTAACTAGTCTTTCCTGGAACAGGCCACTAACTTTACTTCCCTGGGACAGGCCACTAAATAGGCTTTCCTGGGACAGGCCACTAACTAGACTTCCCTGGGACAGGCCACTAACTTTACTTCCCTGGGACAGGCCACTAACTAGTCTTTCCTGGGACAGGCCACTAACTTTACTTCCCTGGGACAGGCCACTAACTAGTCTTTCCTGGAACAGGCCACTAACTTTACTTCCCTGGGACAGGCCACTAACTAGTCTTTCCTGGGACAGGCCACTAACTTTACTTCCCTGGGACAGGCCACTAACTAGTCTTTCCTGGAACAGGCCACTAACTTTACTTCCCTGGGACAGGCCACTAAATAGGCTTTCCTGGGACAGGCCACTAACTAGACTTCCCTGGGACAGGCCACTAACTTTACTTCCCTGGGACAGGCCACTAACTAGTCTTTCCTGGAACAGGCCACTAACTTTACTTCCCTGGGACAGGCCACTAACTTTACTTCCCTGGGACAGGCCATTAACTTTACTTCCCTGGGACAGGCCATTAACTTTACTTCCCTGGGACAGGCCACTAACTAGGGTTTCCTGGAACATGCCACTAACTTTACTTCCCTGGGACAGGCCACTAATTAGTCTTTCCTGGAACAGGCCACTAACTTTACTTCCCTGGGACAGGCCACTAACTAGTCTTTCCATGAACAGGCCACTAATTTACTTCCCTGGGACAGGCCACTAAATAGACTTTCCTGGGACAGGCCACTAACTAGACTTTCCATGAACAGGCCACTAACTTTACTTTCCTGGAACAGGCCACTAACTTTACTTCCCTGTGACAGGCCACTAACTAGTCTTTCCTGGGACAGGCCACTAACTTTACTTCCCTGGGACAGGCCACTAACTAGACTTTCCATGAACAGGCCACTAACTTTACTTTCCTGGAACAGGCCACTAACTTTACTTCCCTGGGACAGGCCACTAACTAGTCTTTCCTGGAACAGGCCACTAACTAGTCTTTCCTGGAACAGGCCACTAACTTTACTTCCCTGGGATAGGCCACTAACTAGTCTTTCCTGGGACAGGCCACTAATTTTACTTCCCTGGGACAGGCCACTAACTAGTCTTTCCATGAACAGGCCACTAACTTTACTTCCCTGGGACAGGCCACTAAATAGACTTTCCTGGGACAGGCCACTAACTAGACTTTCCATGAACAGGCCACTAACTTTACTTCCCTGGGACAGGCCACTAACTTTACTTCCCTGGGACAGGCCACTAACTTTACTTTCCTGGGACAGGCCACTAAATAGACTTCCCTGGGACAGGCCACTAACTTTACTTCCCTGGGACAGGCCACTAACTTTACTTTCCTGGGACAGGCCTCTAACTAGACTTCCCTGGGACAGGCCACTAACTTTACTTTCCTGGGACAGGCCACTAACTAGGCTTCCCTGGGACAGGCCACTAACTAGACTTCCCTGGGACAGGCCACTAACTTTACTTCCCTGGGACAGGCCACTAACTTTACTTCCCTGGGACAGGCCACTAACTTTACTTCCCTGGGACAGGCCACTAACTTTACTTCCCTGGGACAGGCCACTAACTTTACTTCCCTGGGACAGGCCACTAACTAGACTTCCCTGGGACAGGCCACTAACTTTACTTCCCTGGGACAGGCCACTAACTTTACTTCCCTGGGACAGGCCACTAACTTTACTTCCCTGGGACAGGCCACTAACTTTACTTCCCTGGGACAGGCCACTAACTTTACTTCCCTGGGACAGGCCACTAACTAGTCTTTCCTGGGACAGGCCACTAACTTTACTTCCCTGGGATAGGCCACTAACTTTACTTCCCTGGGACAGGCCACTAAATAGTCTTTCCTGGGACAGGCCACTAAATAGTCTTCCTTAGGACAGGCCACTAACTAGACTTCCCTGGAACAGGCCACTAACTTTACTTCCCTGGGACAGGCCATTAACTAGACTTCCCTGGGACAGGCCACTAACTAGACTTCCCTAGGACAGACCACTAACTAGACTTCCCTGGGACAGGCCACTAACTTTACTTCCCTAGGACAGGCCACTAACTAGACTTCCCTGGGACAGGCCATTAACTAGGCTTCCCTGGGACAGGCCACTAACTAGACTTCCCTGGGACAGGCCACTAACTAGACTTCCCTGGGACAGGCCACTAACTAGACTTCCCTAGGACAGGCCACTAACTTTACTTCCCTGGGACAGGCCACTAACTTTACTTCCCTGGGACAGGCCACTAACTTTACTTCCCTGGGACAGGCCACTAACTTTACTTCCCTAGGACAGGCCACTAACTTTACTTCCCTGGGACAGGCCACTAACTAGACTTCCCTAGGACAGGCCACTAACTTTACTTCCCTGGGACAGGCCACTAACTAGACTTCCCTAGGACAGGCCACTAACTAGACTTCCCTAGGACAGGCCACTAACTTTACTTCCCTGGGACAGGCCACTAACTAGACTTCCCTGGGACAGGCCACTAACTTTACTTCCCTGGGACAGGCCACTAACTAGACTTCCCTGGGACAGGCCACTAACTTTACTTCCCTGGGACAGGCCACTAACTAGACTTCCCTGGGACAGGCCACTAACTTTACTTCCCTGGGACAGGCCACTAACTTTACTTCCCTGGGACAGGCCACTAACTTTACTTCCCTAGGACAGGCCACTAACTTTACTTCCCTGGGACAGGCCACTAACTAGACTTCCCTAGGACAGGCCACTAACTAGACTTCCCTAGGACAGGCCACTAACTAGACTTCCCTGGGACAGGCCACTAACTTTACTTCCCTGGGACAGGCCACTAACTTTACTTCCCTAGGACAGGCCACTAACTAGACTTCCCTGGGACAGGCCACTAACTAGGCTTTCCTGGGACAGGCCACTAACTTTACTTCCCTGGGACAGGCCACTAACTTTACTTCCCTGGGACAGGCCACTAACTTTACTTCCCTGGGACAGGCCACTAACTAGACTTCCCTGGGACAGGCCACTAACTTTACTTCCCTGGGACAGGCCACTAACTTTACTTCCCTGGGACAGGCCACTAACTTTACTTCCCTGGGACAGGCCACTAACTTTACTTCCCTGGGACAGGCCACTAACTTTACTTCCCTAAGACAGGCCACTAACTTTACTTCCCTGGGACAGGCCACTAACTAGACTTCCCTAGGACAGGCCACTAACTTTACTTCCCTGGGACAGGCCTCTAACTTTACTTCCCTGGGACAGGCCACTAACTAGACTTCCCTAGGACAGGCCACTAACTTTACTTCCCTGGGACAGGCCACTAACTTTACTTCCCTAGGACAGGCCACTAACTTTACTTCCCTGGGACAGGCCACTAACTAGACTTCCCTAGGACAGGCCACTAACTTTACTTCCCTGGGACAGGCCTCTAACTTTACTTCCCTGGGACAGGCCACTAACTAGACTTCCCTAGGACAGGCCACTAACTTTACTTCCCTGGGACAGGCCACTAACTTTACTTCTCTAGGACAGGCCACTAACTTTACTTCCCTGGGACAGGCCACTAACTAGACTTCCCTGGGACAGGCCACTAACTTTACTTCCCTAGGACAGGCCACTTAGACTTCCCTAGGACAGGCATCTATCTAGGCTTTCCTGGGACAGGCCACTAACTAGGCTTTCGTGGGACAGGCCACTAACTTTACTTCCCTGGGACAGGCCACTAACTTTACTTCCCTGGGACAGGCCACTAACTAGACTTCCCTGGGACAGGCCACTAACTTTACTTCCCTGGGACAGGCCACTAACTTTACTTCCCTGGGACAGGCCACTAACTTTACTTCCCTAGGACAGGCCACTAACTTTACTTCCCTGGGACAGGCCACTAACTTTACTTCCCTGGGACAGGCCACTTAACTTTACTTCCCTAGGACAGGTCACTAACTTTACTTCCCTGGGACAGGCCACTAACTTTACTTCCCTAGGACAGGCCACTAACTTTACTTCCCTGGGACAGGCCACTAACTAGACTTCCCTAGGACAGGCCACTTTTACTTCCCTGGGACAGGCCACTAACTTTACTTCCCTGGGACAGGCCACTAACTAGACTTCCCTAGGACAGGCCACTAACTAGACTTCCCTGGAACAGGCCATTAACTTTACTTCCCTGGGACAGGCCATTAACTTTACTTCCCTGGGACAGGCCATTAACTTTACTTCCCTGGGACAGGCCACTAACTTTACTTCCCTGGAACAGGCCACTAACTAGGCTGCCCTGGGACAGGCCACTAACTTTACTTTCCTGGGACAGGCCACTAACTTTACTTCCCTGGGACAGGCCACTAACTAGGCTTTCCTGGGACAGGCCACTAACTTTACTTTCCTGGGACAGGCCACTAACTTTACTTCCCTGGGACAGGCCACTAACTAGACTTTCCATGAACAGGCCACTAACTAGGCTTTCCTGGAACCGACCATTGCAAATAAGCAATATGTACTGACATGTACGAGAATCAGTCTCACATGGAAATGCAGGATTTGTGGGCTTGTCAGGGCGACAGTGTTAAGATTGGGTTGGTAATATTTTCCGAGCAGAAGATAATGTATTTCCTTGTCTGTAGATTGCAGCTGTGCACCTAGAACAACGGCTCAATTTAAAATATACATTTTTGTTCGCTTCTGTTACTCTCTCTTCTCGCAGTGGGGATGCAACAGAAATTACGTTGAAAGATCTGAAACCGGCCACAGAGTACCACCTGAAGTAAGTTTATTCTTATGGTTTGTGTATCTGTTTCTCCTTTTGAGTTCCAAGGCTCCATGAGGGGGGAAAAAAAGAGGGGGGGGGGAGGGGGGTAAACACACTAGCCCCTAACAAGCATGACATAAAATGCAACTAATTAGGTGTGATTCCTTTGAGGTCAGAGTGTGTCTGCCTGAGAGGCAATACATAAATATTGATCTGGCATATAAATAAGCAAGAACTGAAAAACAAATGACAGTGATGAGTGATTAGGTACCATTATAATTGTAACTTTTTGCTGGCTGCTGAAGATGAGGATCGTGCATGTATAGGAATGTCCTGAGTGCTGTGATGTAAGTTCCTTATTCAGCTGATCTCACATGAGATAGTAAAATCACGACTGCCCAGTTTATCTCCCTGTTACTTGATGATGATGATGATGATGATGTGTTTTTATGGAAGCCCTCTTGTATTTTTATTGAGCAGAGTGTGTGCAATGCTGACCTTATCCAAGCCCTCTTGTATTTTTATTGAGCAGAGTGTGTGCAATGCTGACAGAGGAACTCAAAGGCGCCCTGGCTGAACCTGTGAGCTTCCGAACCTTGACCTGTGAACCGGACACTCCACAACCACCAAAACTTATATCCAAGACCAAAACTTCATTACTGCTAAAGTGGAATGTGAGTTGAGTTGTACTGATTAAGCCACTACTTGTTTTTTAATTTTTGTTTTGTCTGTGTTTTTGTTGTTGTTGTATGTGAAGCGATCTCATCACTTCTCATTGTTTCATCTCCTCACTTCTCATTGTTTATTCTCCTCACTTCTCATTGTTTTATCTCATTACTTGTCATTGTTTTATCTCAGCACTTTCACTGGGTCTCTTTGTCTGTGTGATGTCTTATTCTTTCTTGTCACTTCTTCTTTCATGTCACATCTTATTTGTTTATGTGGCTTACAGCTTTAAAAAAAATTATGTTTTATTATTGTTTTCTGTGAGTTCTTTCAGGACATCATTTCTGATGGTTTCATCGGTTCTCATTGTTTTATCTCATCACTTCTCATTGTTTTCTCTCGTCACTTCTCAATGTTTGATGTCAACACTTCTCATTGTTTCATCTCATCACTTCTCATTGTTTTATCTCATCACTTCTAATTATTTTCTCTCGTCCCTTCTCATTGTTTTATCTCATCACTTCTAATTATTTTCTCTTGTCACTTCTCATTGTTTTATCTCATCACTTCTCATTATTTTCTCTCGTCACTTCTCATTGTTTTATCACATCACTTCTCATTATTTTCTCTCGTCACTTCTCATTGTTTTATCTCATCACTTCTCATTGTTTTATCTCATCACTTCTCATTGTTTTATCTCATCACTTCTCATTGTTTTATCTCTTCACTTCTCATTGTTTTATCTCGTCACTTCTCATTGTTTTATCTCGTCACTTCTCATTGTTTTATCTCGTCACTTCTCATTGTTTTATCTCGTCACTTCTCATTGTTTTATCTCGTCACTTCTCATTGTTTTATCTCGTCACTTCTCATTGTTTTATCTCGTCACTTCTCAATGTTTGTTCTCAACACTTCTCATTGTTTCATCTCATCACTTCTCATTGTTTTATCTCATCACTTCTAATTATTTTCTCTCGTCACTTCTCATTGTTTTATCTCGTCACTTCTCAATGTTTGATCTCAACACTTCTCATTGTTTCATCTCATCACTTCTCATTGTTTCATCTCAACACTTCTCATTGTTTCATCTCATTGCTTCTCATTGTTTTATCTCATTGCTTCTCATTGTTTCATGTCAACACTTCTCATTGTTTTTTCTCATTACTTCATAATTGTTTTTATCTCATCACTTCTCATTGTTTTATCTAATCACTTCTCATTGTTTTATCTCACACTTCTCATTGTTTTATCTCACATTTTTCATTGTTTTATCTCACATTTTTCATTGTTTTATCTCACATTTCTCAATGTTTTATCTCATCACTTCTCAGTTTTATCTCACACTTCTTATGTTTTATCTCATGACTTCTCATTGTTTCATTTCATCACTTCTAATTTTTTTTGTCTTATCTTTTCTTATCATTTTGTCATTTTTCTTTGTTTCATCTTCACTCCAAATTTTTGCATGTCTTTATTTGTCCTTTTTTTTATGTGATGACTTGCATCTTTCACCTGTTCCTTTCCCCCTCAGGCTGCATGTGAGAACGGGTCCAAAATTACGGCATACTCTCTGGAATGTGACCAAGGTGATGGAAGCTTCTCTGAGGTGTATTCAGGCGCCCAGAGACAGTTCAAAGTTCCTCAGCTGAATGCTTCCACAAGATACTCATTCCGTCTGGCAGCCATTAATAACAGTGGGAAAAGGTGAGCAGTATATCATAGAGGGCTTCTTCTTCTCCCACCCCCCCCCCCCCCTCCCACTTTTCTCCTTTATTTTCTTCTCCTTCTTTATCTTCTTGTCCTTTTTTTCTCTTCTTCTGTATTCCCTGTGAAATAGATGATGCATCCAAGTTCAACATGTATATGCAGACTGTTGGTTCCTTGCCTTTCAGGCAAAATGCCTCTGTCTTTGGAAGAAAAAATCCCCAATTGGTCGCTTTTTACAACATGCTTTTAGTTAGGTAGTGGGTCTATTCCTTTTTCTTTCTGCCTGAAAAAGGGTTTGCACTGGGAATTCTTGACATAAAAGGTGCAATGTTCAGATTCTTGACATAATCGGTACAGTGTTCAGATTCTTGACATAATCGGTACAATGTTCAGATTCTTGACATAATCGGTACAATGTTCAGATTCTTGACATAATCGGTACAGTGTTCAGATTCTTGACATAATCGGTACAGTGTTCAGATTCTTGACATAATCGGTACAGTGTTCAGATTCTTGACATAATCGGTACAGTGTTCAGATTCTTGACATAATCGGTACAGTGTTCAGATTCTTGACATAATCGGTACAGTGTTCAGATTCTTGACATAATCGGTACAGTGTTCAGATTCTTGACATAATTGGTACAGTGTTCAGATTCTTGACATAATCGGTACAGTGTTCAGACTCATTAAAGGAAGAGTCCTCGGAAATAAAATAAAAAATTTTAATATTTTTTGAAAAAACCTTGTTTTAGAGTATAATAGGGTTTAATTGCCCGGCTTCGACCAGGATAGTAAAAAAAAGTTTCCAGTCCTCTGCCTTGTCTTGGTTTCATGTGGTTTTCAGGGGGAGATAACAGGGAAATATAATTTTTTCAAAAAATGTAAAACGGGTATATAACTCTGTCAAAGGTTTATTTGCACTGATAGTTGTAATAAATAAAAGAACTGCAGAATAACCTGGCCGTGAATGTGACTATTAAATTAAATTTTATAGCCATAATGGCAGTTGAAAATGTTACCGATGTATTGTTCGTGGTTTCAGAGGAGTTAACAGTTCATTTAAAATAAACACCCAAAATAGAGAAAGTGTTTGTGATTTATCCAATAGATTATAGTGTATTATTTGTGCCTCTGCAGTGCTTACAGTGAGGAGGTTTCCTTCTTCACGAGTGGGTCGGCTCCCTCGCAGCCGGACCCACCCATGCTGTCTGAGCAGTTTGTCTACGCCCTGACCATCTCCTGGATCCGCCGGCCAAATGATGATGAGTTTCTGCTTCAGATGGAGGATGAGACTACGGTACGTTGTTGACCATCAGGCATTTTCATTATGGGTGTGTTTCCATGTGGGATAGTAAAAGACAGTCTACATTCTGTGGTCAGGTCATGAGACTACGGTACGTTGTTGACCATTATCTTCGTTTGCCAGTCATTTTTCATTATGGGTGTGTTTCCATGTGGGATAGTAAAAGACAATCTACATTCTGTGGTCAGGTCATGAGACTACGGTACGTTGTTGACCATCATCTTCGTTTGCTAGTCATTTTCATTATGGGCGTGTTTCCATGTGGGATAGTAAAAGACAATCTACATTCTGTGGTCAGGTCATGAGACTACGGTACGTTGTTGACCATCATCTTTGTTTGCCAGTCATTTTCATTATGGGTGTGTTTCCATGTGGGATAGTAAAAGTCTACATTCTGTGGTCAGGTCATGAGACTACGGCACGTTTTTGACCATCATCTTTGTTTGCCAGTCATTTTCATTATGGGTGTGTTTCCATGTGGGATAGTAAAAGACAGTCTACATTCTGTGGTCAGGTCATGAGACTACAGTACGTTGTTGACCATCATCTTTGTTTGCCAGTCATTTTCATTATGGGTGTGTTTCCATGTGGGATACAAGAAGAGACGGTCTACATTCTTTGGTCATGTCATGAGAAGGAGAAAATTAGAGTGCATCATGATGGGGGAAAAGTTGGAGGGGAAGAGGAAGACTGAGAGGGAAGATACTAGACAGTTTGACATCATGGCATGGAAACTCATCTGTGTCAGAACTGATTGAAAGTACACGAGAGAAAAGGTTGTCTTTTTTTCTTCTTCTTTTTCTTCTTTCGCTCCCTTGAAATAAATAATCTATATCTGCAATGTCTCCAGTATAAACTTCACTGTCTTTTGTAATTCACTCAGCGATTTGTAAAGTTTGACTTGCACCGATGTTTCTCTTGGCCAAAAATTTTGCCTTAATATGTTGTATTTGGGACAGTCTTAGAGGACGTGCAGGTGCCAAACCACATGTGCACATGGCTGATTCGCCAGTTTTAAATGTGAAGAAAAGGTTGCGAATAAACATGACTGCCAGCGCCACATGGCATGGACTATAAAAGATCATCTGTGTCAGAGTTGATTGAAAGTACATGAGACAGAAGTTTGTGGATAGACATGACTACCAGCGCCACACGGCATGGACTATAAAAGATCATCAGTGTCAGAGTTTATTGAAAGTACATGAGACAGAAGTTTGTGGATAGACAAGACTACCAAAGCCACACGGCATGGACTATAAAAGATCAGTGTCAGAGTTGACTGAAAGTACACGAGACAGAAGTTTGTGGATAGACATGACTACCAGCGCCACACGGCATGGACTATGGAAGATCGTCAGAGTTGATTGAAAGTACACGAGACAGAAGTTTGTGGATAGACATGACTACCAGCGCCACACGGCATGGACTATAAAAGATCATCAGTGTCAGAGTAGATTGAAAGTACATGAGACAGAAGTTTGTGGATAGACATGACAATAGCGCCACACGGCATGGACTTTAATAAGAAGGTTGTCTAAGTATTGGTACTCAACATATCATCATCATCATTATCGTCATAAACCGTGCTGGCAAGAGTAGGCCATCATGCTTCACCATCTCACACGATCACCATAATTAGTTAGTGTTTTTTTTTTTTTTGTCTCGTCTCATCGACCTTGCCAGGCCATCCAGATATGTATCTTGTTGCCTTCTTCTGGCTCTCTTTTCTTTAGTCTGGCCAGTTTTTACTAAGTTCTCGCGTCAGTTTCTTCTCATAATTTGTCAAGAATATGTTGACTGTCTGTGTCTCTTAACTCTTTGAGTCCCAAGGAACGCATCATAGGTTACTGCCTAGAAGCCCAATGAACGCATGATGCGCCGATTTTACATCTCTCTTGAGTACCCCTTGGGCCTGTGATGCTAAACCCCCTGGGACTCCAAGAGTTAAAGGATGATATCAGGAAATATGGAGCCACAGAACCAGCAATAAACATCAAGAGAAAACAGATGACTGTTCAAACTTGTGTCAGGACTGCCACAGAATAGTGCACTACAGAGAGACTTATGATACAGTGGAAGCACAACTAGAGGTTAACTACTCAACTGCTGGATAAATACTGCACAAAGGACGGGAAAAACAATAGAGGAGGATAGCGACGCTTACCAGACGACTACGTCAAGCATGACCAGTGAGATAACTGCTGCTTCTAGAGCACTCGCATGGGTAGCAGCACAGGAGGCAACACATGAGGTAATCGTTTCAGACTCTGTAAACATGCTTCAGAAAATCGCTACAGGTTGTCTCAGCTCTGAATGGGTAAAAAGTATTCAGAAGTCGCAGTTAACATCCATCATCTGGATCTACACACCTGGGCATGCACGAGTAAATGGTAATGAAAGAGCTGACCAGCAATATAGAAAGATGTCGATTGTGATAACATAAAATAACATAAATGGGATATCTGAAGCTGTAAATACCAACATTGACATCGCTGAAACAAAGGCTTGCGTCTGACTCCTCTTTAAAGCCTGATGCTGAAAGGTACAACAGGATTAGAGGAGGAGAAGAAAGTACCAACTAGGTTGATTGACGATGCTGATGATGAGAATATTGAAAAGTCTTCTTCTTCCTTGTTCACCGGCTGTAAGCTCCGACGGAAAGTCCTGGTTATTTGTCTGTCTGGACTTTGGCTTTGTGCTAGAGCCTGAGTTTTGGGTGTACATCGGTGTTGCTAGCTTATGTGTGTACAATTACTTGTTCCTTGCTGTTGGGGGCAGATGCAGTCAGATTTCGAAGGAAGCCGCCAATTAGTTGACTTCCACAGCTCGCTTGTTGGGGAAGCCGTGGGTCTGTTCTTGTTTTCAACATGAGGCCCTGGGAGCCACATGGGGAAAATGCATAATAACTAGAGACGAAGGTACCAGCTAGGTTGACTGACGAAGCTTTGATGAGAAAGTGATAGTTATAATATTAAAATAATGAATGAATATGTGATTTTTTTAAATCACTGTCTTTCCTACAGGGCCATGGTTTCATTACTGTGTATAACGGGCAAAGCCTTTCAACTGTGATCCGAAACCTGAAACGCAACATGGAGTACAAGTTTAGGGTGAGTCATTTATACCAGTGAACCTTTTGACACCCGCGGCCCACCAACACTGGGGAAATTGTGTTGCAGGCTACCAAAACAGGGAAAATTGTTTTGTGGCTCATCAAAACAGGGAAAATTGTTTTGTGTCCCACCAAAACAGGGAAAATTGTTTTGTGGCTCATCAAAACAGGGGAAATTGTTTTGTGTCCCACCAGAACAGGGAAAATTGTTTTGTGGCTCATCAAAACAGGGGAAATTGTTTTGTGTCCCACCAGAACAGGGAAAATTGTTTTGTGGCTCATCAAAACAGGGAAAATTGTTTTGTGGCTCATCAAAATAGGGGAAATTGTTTTGTGGCCCACCAGAACAGGGGAAATTGTAATGCGGCTCACCAAAACAGGGAAAATTGTTTTGTGGCTCATCAAAACAGGGGAAATTGTTTTGCGACCCACTAAAACAGGGACAAATATTTTGTGGCTCACCAAAACAGGGGAAATTGTTTTGCAGCCCACCAAACACAGAAATAAATAAAAATGTAGATAATAGTTTGTTCGTTTAATCCGGTGTCACAAAATTACAATTTTCAGCTGTATTTTAATTCTCACCCTGAAGGTCTTAATTCTGTAGACCTCAATCCTGGAAGATAAAAATTACTTACGAAGATTTTTTTTTTTTACGTATCCAGAAACCATGAGTTGTAAACCCTTTGGCTCGGTACTATGGATATCGTAACCCTTCGGCCTTGATTCCATTATAGGTACCGTTAATCTGGGAGAAATGTGGCTTTTCTACCTACCCCTGGGAGTGAACCCGGACCACAAGGAGTTCGTCACCCGGCCGCCGCGAACGTCAGGTTTAACCATCTTCGCTAGAGAGCCGGGCATAGAAAGATAAAAATTACCTACGAAGATAAAAATTACCTACGAAGATAAAAATTACCTACGAAGATAAAAATTACCTACGAAGATAAAAATTACCTATGAAGATAAAAATTACCTATGAAGATAAAAATTACCTATGAAGATAAAAATTACCTAGGAAGATAAAAATTACCTAGGAAGATAAAAATTACCTACGAAGATAAAAATTACCTACGAAGATAAAAATTACCTACGAAGATAAAAATTACCTACGAAGATAAAAATTACCTACGAAGATAAAAATTACCTACGAAGATAAAAATTACCTACGAAGATAAAAATTACCTACGAAGATAAAAATTACCTACGAAGATAAAAATTACCTAACCTACCCTACACCATTATGTGATAAGGCAGACATTTTTGGCAGCCTACCTGGACTTGGCCGCGGTGCAGCAGTTGAAGAACATTGATTTATACTGTTTGCCTGACCTGGTCGTTAACAGAAGTCACACTGTTAGAAACCTGTTGCACTGACAAGCATGCATCACCGTAATGGCCCTTCTGTCACCTAAGAATTTCTATAGGTTTCACCCCTTTATTGAAAAAAAACAGTAAACAAAATGCTGCTTCTCTTCGGTGCATGTCAAAAGTGTGGCAGTCATCTTTGAACTGTCATTATATGTTCACCTGAAACGTAATGTCATGTGCTTAACACTCTTGATATCTTTAACAATAATATTCACAGGTTACAAGTTCGTGGCATGGTTACTGTAATTTCTGTCACAATGTTAAGGTTTTCATTTGAAACCCTCTCATACCATGTGGCATATCAGAGAGGTGTAGATTTGAGTCTGCAGATATCTCATCTCATCAGAGTTGGTTGTAAAACAAGTTAAAACACTGCACTAGTTCACCAAGCTTGTGGTTAAGGACATACACATTTGATTGCAGTTGTTGTCCAGTGTGTTTTATCTGAGCCTTTGAATAGCCCTCTTGTGCTAGTCTGTCTTCCTTGGATTGTCCCTAGTCTGCCTTCTTTGGACTGTCTCTAGTCTGCCTTCTTTGGACTGTCCCTAGTCTGCCTTCCTTGGACTGTCCCTAGTCTGCCTTCTTTGGACTGTCCCTATCTGCCTTTCTTGGACTGTCCCTAGTCTGCCTTCTTTGGACTGTCCCTAGTCTGCCTTCTTTGGACTGTCCCTAGTCTGCCTTACTTGGACTGTCCCTAGTCTGCCTTCCTTGGATTGTCCCTAGTCTGCCTTCCTTGGATTGTCCCTCGTCTGCCTTCCTTGGACTGTCCCTAGTCTGCCTTCCTTGGATTGTCCCTAGTCTGCCTTCCTTGGATTGTCCCTAGTCTGCCTTCCTTGGATTGTCCCTAGTCTGCCTTCCTTGGATTGTCCCTAGTCTGCCTTGCTTGGACTGTCCCTAGTCTGCCTTGCTTGGACTGTCCCTAGTCTGCCTTGCTTGGACTGTGCCTAGTCTGCCTTGCTTGGACTGTGCCTAGTCTGCCTTCCTTGGACTGTGCCTAGTCTGCCTTCCTTGGACTGTGCCTAGTCTGCCTTCCTTGGACTGTGCCTAGTCTGCCTTCCTTGGACTGTACCTTAGACTTTCTTCCTTGGACTGTACCTTAGACTTTCTTCCTTGGACTGTCCCTAGTCTGCCTTTCTTGGACTGTCCCTAGTCTGCCTTATTTGGACTGTCCCTTTCTGCCTTACTTGCACTGTCCCTTTCTGCCTTACTTGCACTGTACCTTAGTTTGTCTTCCTTGGACTGTCCCTAGTCTGCCTTCCTTGGACTGTCCCTATCTGCCTTCCTTGGACTGTGCCTAGTCTGCCTTCCTTGGACTGTGCCTTAGTCTGTCTTCCTTGGACTGTCCCTATCTGCCTTCCTTGGACTGTCCCTTTCTGCCTTCCTTGGACTGTCCCTAGTCTGCCTTACTTGGACTGTACCTTAGTCTGCCTTACTTGTACTGTCCCTAGTCTGCCTTACTTGGACTGTCCCTAGTCTGCCTTACTTGGACTGTCCCTAGTCTGCCTTACTTGGACTGTCCCTAGTCTGCCTTACTTGGACTGTCTCTAGTCTGCCTTCCTTGGACTGTCTCTAGTCTGCCTTCCTTGGACTGTCCCTAGTCTGCCTTCCTTGGACTGTCTCTAGTCTGCCTTCCTTGGACTGTCTCTAGTCTGCCTTCCTTGGACTGTCTCTAGTCTGCCTTCCTTGGACTGTCTCTAGTCTGCCTTACTTGCACTGTCCCTTTCTGCCTTACTTGCACTGTACCTTAGTTTGCCTTCTTTGGACTGTCTCTAGTCTGCCTTCCTTGGACTGTCCCTAGTCTGCCTTCCTTGGACTGTCCCTAGTCTGCCTTTCTTGGACTGTCCCTAGTCTGCCTTCTTTGGACTGTCCCTAGTCTGCCTTACATGGACTGTCCCTAGTCTGCCTTACATGGATTGTCCCTCGTCTGCCTTCCTTGGATTGTCCCTCGTCTGCCTTCCTTGGACTGTCCCTCGTCTGCCTTCTTTGGACTGTCCCTAGTCTGCCTTCCTTGGACTGTCCCTAGTCTGCCTTCCTTGGACTGTCCCTAGTCTGCCTTTCTTGGACTGTCCCTATCTGCCTTTCTTGGACTGTCCCTAGTCTGCCTTCTTTGGACTGTCCCTAGTCTGCCTTCTTTGGACTGTCCCTAGTCTGCCTTCTTCGGACTGTCCCTAGTCTGCCTTCTTTGGACTGTCCCTAGTCTGCCTTCTTTGGACTGTCCCTCGTCTGCCTTCCTTGGATTGTCCCTCGTCTGCCTTCCTTGGATTGTCCCTCGTCTGCCTTCCTTGGATTGTCCCTCGTCTGCCTTCCTTGGACTGTCCCTCGTCTGCCTTCCTTGGACTGTCCCTCGTCTGCCTTCCTTGGACTGTACCTTAGTCTTTCTTCCTTGGACTGTACCTTAGTCTTTCTTCCTTGGACTGTCCCTAGTCTGCCTTTCTTGGACTGTCCCTAGTCTGCCTTCTTTGGACTGTCCCTTTCTGCCTTCTTTGGACTGTCCCTTTCTGCCTTCCTTGGACTGTCCCTTTCTGCCTTACTTGCACTGTACCTTAGTTTGTCTTCCTTGGACTGTCCCTAATCTGCCTTGGACTGTCCCTAGTCTGCCTTCCTTGGACTGTCCCTAGTCTGCCTTCCTTGGACTGTCCCTAGTCTGCCTTCCTTGGACTGTCCCTAGTCTGCCTTCCTTGGACTGTCCCTATCTGCCTTCCTTGGACTGTCCCTATCTGCCTTCCTTGGACTGTCCCTAGTCTGCCTTCCTTGGACTGTACCTTAGTCTGCCTTCCTTGGACTGTCCCTAGTCTGCCTTCCTTGGACTGTCCCTAGTCTGCCTTCCTTGGACTGTCCCTAGTCTGCCTTACTTGGACTGTCCCTAGTCTGCCTTACTTGGACTGTCCCTAGTCTGCCTTACTTGGACTGTCCCTAGTCTGCCTTCCTTGGACTGTCTCTAGTCTGCCTTCCTTGGACTGTCTCTAGTCTGCCTTCCTTGGACTGTCTCTAGTCTGCCTTCCTTGGACTGTCCCTAGTCTGTCTTCCTTGGACTGTCCCTAGTCTGTCTTCCTTGGACTGTCCCTAGTCTGTCTTCCTTGGACTGTCCCTAGTCTGCCTCCCTTGGACTGTCCCTAGTCTGCCTTACTTGGACTGTCCCTTAGTCTGCCTTACTTGGACTGTCCCTTAGTCTGCCTTACTTGGACTGTCCCTTAGTCTGCCTTACTTGGACTGTCCCTTAGTCTGCCTTCCTTGGACTGTCCCTTAGTCTGCCTTCCTTGGACTGTCCCTTAGTCTGTCTTCCTTGGACTGTCCCTTAGTCTGTCTTCCTTGGACTGTCCCTTAGTCTGTCTTCCTTGGACTGTCCCTTAGTCTGTCTTCCTTGGACTGTCCCTTAGTCTGTCTTCCTTGGACTGTCCCTTAGTCTGTCTTCCTTGGACTGTCCCTTAGTCTGTCGTCCCCTGGCCATCTACCTCCTGGGCAGCTGGTTTAAGAAGCACACCTACTTCCTGTCTCCCCACATAAAGACTAAAGTGTCTGAATCGCTGTTTTATACTGTGCAATGTCTTTCATGTTAACAGTAAAGGTCCCTTTTCCACGCCTTTAGACGTATAGGGCATATAGGGCTAGACCTATATTTTTATAGACCAATCGGCACAAGATGGGTGATGTGGCCAGCATCACACCAACCGCCTTTACTTCCTGGGACTACACCCAGTACCCACTTAAGGCTGGGTCGACCTGGGAGTCAAGGTCATTTTTAAAAAAAGTCCGGCTCCGCCACAGAGCGAACCCACGACCTTCCGATCCGTAGAAGAGCGTCTATCCGCTACGCCACGGTGACTCTCTTTCATGTTAATGAATGAATGAAATCTGTTTGGCCCCTCAGCTTGGAGCTAAGAACGAGGAAGGACAGAGCAAGTGGAGTGAAGCAGTCAGCTATAGAACACAGCCAGACAAGCCACACCCACCCAGCAAGCCTCAGATCAAGGGCAAGATGGGGCCGTATTCATTCCGTGTTACCTGGGGTAAGTCTGTGTTAGTTCACCTGATCTGGAGATTCTTGTGTTATTTTATGAGGTGGGAGGACATGATAGCCTGTGTTTATTAACACATGATGATGATGTTTGTACTGCTCATGTTTAGAATGTTTTTCTTCTGTCTTTTTTTTCTGTATCTCTGTGTATATCATTCTTTCTTTCTTGCTTCCTTCTTTGAATCCTTTTTCCTTGTGTGGTGTCCGGAGCACAATTGTGGGGTTCACACCCAAAAAAACCCACACAAAAAAACAATGGACTCACTGACCCCTAATAAGCAAGTCCTAAAAGTCAACTAATTAAGGATGTTTCCTTTAAAGTCGGAGTGCATTTGGCTGAGAGGCGAGGAACCAACATCCTGCATACATATCTGTAAAACGGATGTGTTTACAAAACTGGAGTTCTGAGACAGGAAGGAAGTGGACCAACAAGAACTTTCCACCAGAGTTTACAGCTGGTGGACGCTGAGAAGGAGAATAGATAATCTCTTGTTGTTATTGTTTTCCTTCTTTCTGCCTTTGTTGTTTGCTCTCAGAGGGGTCTCCTTGGCGAAGTGGTCAAGTCGTTTGCATCGTGCACTGGAGGTCGTGGGTTCAATTCATGCTCCGTTCAGTTCATGGGTGCACGTCCCTGGGGGTGGTCACCGGAGCTGCGGAGCTCTTGCTTTGTGCCATGCTTTCGGCAGGGGGCTAGCCCCGTTCTGCAGAGGGAAACTGGGCCATATGGGATCAGACTAAGTGCACTGAAGTCAGCGCTCTCGACTGTTAACTTTTTGTTTTTACTGATGTTTCCTGTCAGCTAGCTTTGTATTGAGCACATCACCCATTCAGGTCGGGTTTATCTCTACAACTAGGGGACTGGCATCATATATCCAGAACTCAGGATGTGATAGGGGGGTCTATTGCTTAGTTTTTGTTAGACCCCATCTGGGGTTTCTGGGCCCCATTGGACAGGGGGGGGGGGGGGGTCTTTAGATCCACTCCCTCCTCCTCCTCCTCCCCTAATTAGGTGACTAATTAGGGATTTGCTTAAATTGGATTTGTTGGCCCAAATGGCAGAGATATCACAGCCTAGCTGTTAACCAGAATACAACATGCCAGTCATCTTTTTAAGGATGATTGCAGAAGAAGAAGCTATAGTTATAATTCCTCTTCATCTTCTCTTCTTCTTCACTTGCTGATTCTGGTGTTGAGGGAGGTTCTGTTTCCTGCTCTTCTCACCCTCTCAGCCATAGACATATTGTGCTGTTGTATAGTTTCTCAGATATCTTTCCCTCTTGATAGTTATAATTAGTTCTGTTTTTTGATTATCTTTTAGACCCTCCTCAAGACACAGGTGGCTCCGATATAACGAAGTATATTCTGGAATTAGATAACAGCCAAGGTAAGATGCCCTTCTGTCTTTCATCTTTGAGCCAACATAAATAAACATGGCCGTAGATTCAGAACAGGAATTGGGCGGAGAACACTGGTGTATGTTCGTTAGACACTGACTGCCTGTTGCCAGGGTGGCTTTTTCGTTTCTTTATTTGGCAAGCAGATTAGAATTTAAGATTCTGGAATGTTAAGAATTAAGTCTGGTGGCAGACTGCTGTGTTGTGTTTGTGGGTGTGTGGACAGTGATTCTTTTGTTCGCATCTTGTCTTCACTGATGATTTTATAATCATGTTTTCCTACTGTCTTTTCTGTATTTTTTTGTTCATTTACTTTGGCTAGGGTCTCTCTCTCTGCCTTTGTAACTTTCTGTCTGACTTCCTGACTTCTTTTGATCTTGCATGCTTTCTTTCCTTTCTTATTTTATATTTCTTTTTCTTTTTGTAACTTTCTTTCTTTGATTTTACTCCTTGCTTTCTGTTTTTTTCTTTTTCCGTATTCTTTTCAAATTTTTACCTTATTGTTTCAGTCATTTTATATCTTTCTTAATTTCTTTTGATTCTAGGTTTGTTCTTTCTCATTTTTTCTAACTTCTTTCTTTTCAACTTTTGTGTTTTCTTTCTGTCTTTCTCCCCTCTTTTCTAAGCGCATTATTTGAGATTTAAAAAAACGGCAAATAACACAATGAAAATTTAACAAAATAGTAAATTTGGAATGTATTATTTCGGGAGCTGTCTCCAATCTGTTTTTCTGTGCTTGGGATAATATTTAAAGCAGTGTCTTGAGACTGTTTTTCTTGCCTGGAGCAGTGTCTTGAGACTTTTTTTTTTTCATGCCTGGAGCAGTGTCTTAGGACTTTTTCTTGCCTGGAGCTGTGTCTTGAGACTGTTTTTCACGCCTGGAGCAGTGTCTTGAGACTGTTTTTCATGCCTGGAGCCATGTCTTGAGTGTTTTCCATGGTCTGAGCAGTGCCTGGAATCTTTGCTTTCATGCTTAGACCAGTGTCTTGAATATTTTATCCATGATTGGAGCAGTGTCTTGTATTGGTTTACCATGATTGGGGCAGTGTCTTTTATTTGTTTTTCATGATTGGCGCAGTGTCTTGAGTCTGTTTACCATGATTGGAGCAGTGTCTTGAGTCTGTTTACCATGATTGGAGCAGTGTCTTGAGTCTGTTTACCATGATTGGGACAGTGTCTTGTATTTGTTTTTCATGATTGGGGCAGTGTCTTGTATTTGTTTTTCATGATTGGGGCAGTGCCTTGAGTCTGTTTACCATGATTAAAGCAGTGTCTTGTATCTGTTTGCCGTGATTGGAGCAGTGTCTTGAGTCTGTTTACCATGATTGGAGCAGTGTCTTGAGTCTGTTTACCATGATTGGAGCAGTGTCTTGAGTCTGTTTACCATGATTGGAGCAGTCTTGAGTCTTTTTACCATGATTGGGACGGTGTCTTGTATTTGTTTACCATGATTGGGACAGTGTCTTGTATTTGTTTTTCATGATTGGGGCAGTATCTTGAGTCTGTTTACCATGATTGGAGCAGTGTCTTGAGTCTGTTTACCATGATTGGAGCAGTGTCTTGAGTCTGTTTACCATGATTGGAGCAGTGTCTTGTATTTGTTTACCATGATTGGGGCAGTGCCTTGTATTTGTTTTTCATGATTGGAGCAGTGTCTTGTATCTGTTTACCATGATTGAAGCAGTGTCTTGAGTCTGTTTACCATGATTGGAGCAGTGTCTTGTATCTGTATGCCATGATTGGAGCAGTGTCTTGAGTCTGTTTACCATGATTGGAGCAGTGTCTTGTATCGGTTTTCTATGTTTGGGGCAGTGTCTTTTATCGGTTTTCTATGTTTGGGGCAGTGTCTTGTTTTTGTTTTTCATGATTGGGGCAGTATCTTGAGTCTGTTTACCATGATTGAGACAGTGTCTTGAGTCTGTTTACCATGATTGGAGCAGTGTCTTGAGTCTGTTTACCATGATTGGGGCAGTGCCTTGAGTCTGTTTACCATGTTTGGAGCAGTGTCTTGTATCGGTTTACCATTTTGGGGCAGTGTCTTGTATTTGTTTACCATGATTGGGGCAGTATCTTGAGTCTGTTTACCATGATTGGGGGAGTGTCTTGAGTCTGTTTACCATGATTGGAGCAGTGTCTTGTATTTTTTTTTTTTATGATTGGGGCAGTGCCTTGAGTCTGTTTACCATGATTGGAGCAGTGTCTTGTATCGGTTTTCTATGTTTGGGGCAGTGTCTATTTGTTTTTCATGATTGGGGCAGTGTCTTGGGTCTGTTTACCATGTTTGGAGCAGTGTCTTGAGTCTGTTTACCATGATTGGAGCAGTGTTTTGAGTCTGTTTACTATGTTTGGAGCAGTGTCTTGAGTCTGTTTACCATGATTGGGGCAGTGCCTTGAGTCTGTTTACCATGTTTGGAGCAGTGTCTTGAGTCTGTTTACCATGTTTGGAGCAGTGCCTTGAGTCTGTTTACCATGTTTGGAGCAGTGTCTTGTATCGGTTTTCTATGTTTGGGGCAGTGTCTTATATTTGTTTACCCATTATTGGGGCAGTGTCTTGAGTCTGTTTACCATGATTGGAGCAGTGTCTTGTATTGGTTTTCTATGTTTGGGGCAGTGTCTTATATTTGTTTTTCATGATTGGGGCAGTGTCTTGAGTCTGTTTACCATGATTGGGGCAGTGTCTTGTGTTGGTTTACCATGTTTGGGGCAGTGTCTTGAGTCTGTTTACCATGATTGGAGCAGTGTCTTGAGTCTGTTTACCATGTTTGGGGCAGTGTCTTGTATCTGTTTACCATGTTTAGTCTCATTTCCTGTTAATTTTCATTGTTGTTGGTTTTGGCTGACTGCTGCTGTTTTACCCTTTCCTTGTCTGCAGTAGTTAATCTGCTTCAAGACATATTTATCACACATGTCTCAGTTGAAGTTGTTATCATTCTTTTATAAACCTATATCTCTGGAGCTGCAGCGTAATAGTAAAAATGATGATTCACTTCCATAAATTAGGATTTGGCTGTGCATGCCTCTTGAGAACACTTCTTTATCACTTCAGTTGATCTGCAATGTTAGTTTATGAAAAAATCTGCCTGAGTTATGAGTTAAGAACTGACTTGGGACATTCCTGAGTGTTCCATCCCCATCTTCAGCAGCAAGTGCAGAGTTCCATTAGTACCAAAAACTGTCTGATTGTGTGTCTGTCTCTTTATTGTGATGTGACTTGTGTTTTAGGGTTGACTGAATTTGCCAGACTAAACTTCAGATGTACAAATATACAAAAACATGTTGGCTGACATTTGTTGGATTGATTGAGTTTGCGTGACTAAACTTCAGATGTACAAATTTACAAAAACACGTTGACTGGCGTTTGTTGGATTGATAGTTTGCCTGACTAAACTTCAGATGTACAAATATACAAAAACATGTTGAGTGGCGTTTGTTGGATTGATAGTTTGCCTGACTGAACTTCAAATGTACAGATACACAAAAACACGTTGACTGGCGTTTGTTGGATTGATAGTTTGTCTGACTAAACTTCAAATGTACAGATACACACACACAAATGTGAGCTGGTGCACACGAGTAATATCCTGTACAAACTGTGCATTATTGTGCACCAAAGAGGTAAAAGGAGTGTTTGTCTCATGTGCTGTGATTTTGCTTCTAAACTCTGGATATCTCAACCATATGTTTTGTAGAATTTTGCTTTCTATTCTGTTTTGTTAGTCAGTTGATAAGACATGTTTTTGTTAAAAGCCATCAGCTTTTTTTTTTTTTTCTCAACATTTATACATCCTTACTTATTGTTTTCAAAATTTTCAGTTGCTTGTTCATCATTTGCTCGCATAATTTGGAAAGGATGTCACAAGGTGTGAATGGTTATTTTGACACTAATTCAGGGTTAACTGCCTGGTTTTCTTCCTCAGGTTATGACACAGTTTACGAGGGCTGTGAGCGGGAGCACCAGTTTGACCACCTGTTGCCAGGAACTTTGTACCACGTCCGGGTTGCCTGTTGTAGCGCTGGAGGCAGAAGTGAAGTAAGTTTGGTTACTGTTGTTAGTTTTGTTGGTACCCCAGGGCAGTTGACTTAGATATACATCAATGCATGATGTGTTTATTGGTACTGAAAGTTTACGTTTAGATGACGGATCAACATCATGGCACAGGGGTAATAACCCATAAGTGCTCCATTCTGTTTCTGACTCAAACTTGAGTCTGAAGAATCTCAGCACAGTGCACGAACTCCGTAGCACCGGCAGGATCCTGAAATACTTTGCGTAGATTTTTTAATCAAAATTTTGCCCAGGCTACTCTTTTGTGATTTCCAACTGCCAAGATTTTTTAAATGTGCACAACAAAACATACAGGTGTTGGATCCTACTACCCAGAGACCAAGTCTACATGAAAAGCTCCCAGGGAGACACCATGCCTCAAGATCATGCAGCTCCCATACTGGTAATGAAAGTTGAATGAATGAATGAATCATAAGTTTACATGAGTGTACTTAAGACATTCCCATTTATGCACCATAAATTACACTGTTAACCCCTTTTTTTCAGTAGAAAAAGAAGAGTCAACATGCTAATAGTACCAGTTGATCCAGTTTGATTTTTAAAAAATCCTGTTTGATTAGAAAAATGTCCATTTTGATTTGAAAAATGTGCTAGGTGGTGTGAAAATGTCCAGTTTGATTTGAAAAGTGTCCAGTTTAAAGTGAAAATGGAATACTTCCAGAAAATCTTCCCACCCCTGCTGAATTAGTCTTTCAGTGCATCAATTCTCTGTTCTGTTGCACTGTTGATTTAATCCCACTGAGCCTTTACGGCGTCCACTTTATCATAAAGTAGCTCACTACCCAGAGGAGCAGCAACAGACAATCTATCAACCTGCTCGTTGCCTCACACACCTGAATATCCATGATATGCTTCTGATCCTGGTCTAACCAGGTAATGCCGGTTTCAGTTTTCCAGAGCCTGCGCTGTGAGTCTGTTACATTGACACCATGTCAGGCTATGCTGTTCTCAGACTGTTGGTTCCTTGTGAGTCTGTTACATTGACACCATGTCAGGCTATGCTGTTCTCAGACTGTTGGTTCCTTGTGAGTCTGTTACATTGACACCATGTCAGGCTATGCTGTTCTCAGACTGTTGGTTCCTTGTGTCTGTTACATTGACACCATGTCAGGCTATGCTGTTCTCAGACTGTTGGTTCCTTGTGAGTCTGTTTCATTGACACCATGTCGGGCTATGCTGTTCTCAGACTGTTGGTTCCTAGTGAGTCTGTTACATTGACACCATGTCGGGCTATGCTGTTCTCAGACTGTTGGTTCCTTGTGAGTCTGTTACATTGACACCATGTCGGGCTATGCTGCTTTGTATGCAGACTGTTGGTTCCTTGTGAGTCTGTAACATTGACACCATGTCGGGCTATGCTGCTTTGTGTGCAGACTGTTGGTTCCTTGTGAGTCTGTTACATTGACACCATGTCGGGCTATGCTGCTTTGTATGCAGACTGTTGGTTCCTTGTGAGTCTGTTACATTGACACCATGTCGGGCTATGCTGCTTTATATGCAGACTGTTGGTTCCTTGCCTCACATCTGTTTGACAGATCTTGTTGGTTCCTTGCCTCACATCCATTTGACAGATTGGTCTTATTTGTATGCAGACTGTTGGTTCCTGGCCTCACATCCATTTGACAGATCTATCTTATTTGTATGCAGACTGTTGGTTTCTGGTCTCTCAGGCAGATGCACACTGACTTCAAAGGAAACACTCCTAATTAATTGCTTTTATGACAAGCTTGTGGGTCTATTCTTGTTCCCCCTAAAATAAGGCTATGGAACCCACACAAAGTTGTTACATTTCAGCATTTCATTCTTCATGTTCCACTATCAGTTTGTCAGTCATGTTGCTATTACCAACTCAAATACTTCTTCTGTGTTCACACCAGGGCAGTTGGCATATTGCATTGTGATTAAAAGCTAGGCTGTGATATCTACACCCTTTGGCACACCATATCAGATTTCAGCAATCCCTTAATTAGTCGTTTTTAGCATGCTTGTTCAGTGACTCAGACATTGCAAATATGCTTCAGAATTCTAAGATGTCGGGTTTGATCGCAGCTGCTGGTAATTTAGCAGCAGACTGGTTTGGGTAGGTTCTGAAATTGGTATCGACAGCTGACTGTTCAGTTAGCAGCTCCAGATTACTCAATTTAAAATTACCTTGTGAAATCACAAACGGGGAAATGGGGAAAGAAATTGTAGATTGTCTCTATGTGGTCATAAATACTCTGGGTCATGACTCCCTTCCCTACACTATCCTACAAAATGGCCAGTGTTCAAAACCATGTGGTTTCCAGGGTTCACCCAGCCTCTAGGTAGAATCAACACTCTGGGGTAAATGGGGGAACGTCACTGTAGCTACGGAGTTGCGTGCGGAGGGTGACACAGGCAGGCAGTTTCTTATCAACTGTCCGTACTGGTGGCAGAGCACTTATGGTTTAAACCATGTGCAATGATGGTGGTTCACATCTCCCAACTTTACCTTTTTTTACCTTTACCGTGATATTAAAGACATCACTCAGGATAGATTGGAATGGAGAAATAGACAGCCCTGTGTGACATGTCATGGACCAACAGGACAACAAATGAATTTGTGCGATAGGAAGATGTTACTGCTGCTTTGTTTCTTGATTGGAGGGTTCTTTATAAATTGATGTTGTATTTGTACTGTCTGTTGATTTCAGTTCTCCCCTGCATGTGTAGCGACAACGTTGCCGATCATACCTGGCCAGTGTCAGACGCCAAAACTCCAGGGAAAACCTAAAGCCACATCACTTCATCTCCGATGGTGTAAGTCGTTTTTTCTCATCTCCTTATTTCAGTGAGGCTAGTCTTCTCTTCTTCTTCATGTTCAGCATTTTTAAAGTCCCGCACAAGTTTTGGGTGTTCGTCCACTTCTGGACTTTAGACTTGTTCTGAGTTATACATGCGCATCCCTTTGACAGTGGGTCTTTTTTTTTGGGGACCACCCCCACCCCATCCCCCTCTCTTCAACAGGACCTCGGAACCTACACAGGAGGGCTGAGGTTTCCAAGTTTATTTTGTCAGCTTTTTTCAAATATTTATAAGGAGTGGATTCTAGAAGTAGGTACATGGCACGACAGTACTGTACAAGGCAAGACAGTGCAGTACAAAATAGTACAGTACAAGACAGTAATTTACATGACAAGACAATGCAGTACAAGACAGTACTGTACTAGGTAAGATAGTACTGTACAAGACAGTAAAATACAATACAGTAAGATAAAACAGTACAGTACAGGAAAATACTGAAAAACACAGTACGACACAGTACAGTATATTACAACACAATACAGTACGGTACGATACATATAATACAGTACAGTACATCACAATACAGTACAGTAAGGATAATACAATAAAACACAATACAGCATAAAACAATGTATTACAACATAATACAGTACAGTACAACATAATACTGTACATTTTATCACAATACAGGGCAGTACGTTACAGTACAACTTAATAAGTACAACACACTTCAGATCTATCAGTCATTTTAATGTGATTATTTTCAGGTAACCCTGACTACGATGGGGGTTCCCAGGTGACCCACTTTTCTGCTCAGATGATTTCCCCTGATAACTCCAGCCGGGAGGTCTACAAAGGTCACGACCGCGACTGTATTGTGGCCGGCCTTTTGCCGGGGAGGCCATATTTGTTTCAAGTTCGAGCTTTCAACAGAGTTGGGGTAATTGACATTTTCTAGCAGAACTGAATCCTTTTTTGTTTTTAAAGAAAATATTTCTATTTAATGTCTTTTCTTATTCCTTTACCTCTTGCTCCTCTTCTCTTCACCATTGTGCTTCTTTTCTCCTCTCCTCCTTCTGTTTTTCTGTTTGTTTTTTCTCCTTTTAATCTTCTTAATCTCCCATTTCTCTTTCACCTTCTTTTCCATTCTTCCTTCTTCTCAGCTTCTTCTGTTTCTTCTTCTCATCTTCATTGTCTCCCTTCCTTCACCTTCTTCTCTCACTTCTCATTTTTCTTTTTCTTCCTCCTCCTCATTCTATCAGCTTATTATTATTATTCATTTGCTGTCCAAAAAATTTGTGTTTTCTTCTTCAAACTGTTGAGGAAACCAAGGAGGGATGTCAAGAGGCTGCGTTTCTTATCATGTAGGAAGCTATAAAACATTGACAAGTTGTCCAGAATATATTGACTTTTTTTTGGGTCCACAATATATTGAATTCTTGTTGACTGGAAAATATAGAATTCGTGCTGTCCAGAAGATGTAGAATTCTTGTTGTCCAGAATACATTCAATTCTTTTTGTCCAGAATAGATTGAATTCCTGTTGTTTGAAACATGTTTCCGGGCATCTTATTGTTCGTAGGCTGGTCCTTGGTCAGAGCCCCTAGAAGTGGTTAGCGGAGCTGGGGTCCCGGACGAGCCCAGGATGCCACACGTGACAAGTAGGTCGGCACATTCTGCACTAGTCACCTGGGAAGAACCATTGAACAACGGGGCCAGCATCAGTGAGTATCGCCTGGAGTGGCAGCAGCAATCAGACACGTCAGATTTTTCTCAGGTTTGTGAAAAGTTTCTTGACCTTTAGACATGCATTTAGATATTTTCCTTCCTGCTTTGGCATGTATTGTCCATATTTAATTGTGCATCTTTTTATTCTTCACATTTAGATATACATATTCCACATTAAAACATGAATTTTTATTCGGACATGTAATTTCTATGTTTAGGTATGTAATTTCTACATTACGAATGTCTTTTAGATATTTCCTTTCACTTTTAGACATGTATTTTACACATTTCGACATGTATTTTTCAAATTAACAAACCTATCTCATTATTTATTGGCTGTTTGTGGAATTAAAAGGTTTCTAGACTTAATGCAACAGTTGATTCCTAAAGTCTAACCTACGATAGTGTATCTAGTTTGAGAATGGAGGCGGAGGCAGTCACAGCAGCTTTCTGCTGGCTTGAGGACCAGCTGTGCACACATGCCGTAATTGTAACCAACTCACAGACGTGTTAAGAAAAGTGGACACAGGCATGCTGCCTACAGATCGGCAAGCATCAGTTCACATGTCACACGCTGCTGCCTATAGATTGGCAAGCATCACTTCATATGTCACACGCTGCTGCCTATAGATCGGCAAGCATCACTTCAGATGTCACACCCCTTCCCCAAGGGTACTTCAGAATTCAGTTAAACCTTCCAAATTAAATTCACTTGCACAGTCACGTAGGACAACTTTCCCATGAGTGGCCACGTATTATTCTGGTGAGTTTATACCCAGTCTGAGAACCCCTTGCTGGTAAATACTATATAGCAATGTCATCATAAACAACTCTGACAGGCACCTTCATAGATACACTAACCCAGTGATTCCCAAACTTGTGTGCCATGGGGGCCTGACCTCTTCACAAGGGCGCCGCAAAATATTCGAAGATACACGTTTTTTCTCTTATATACGAATAGTCTTACTTTTACTTTGGTTAGGGCATCATATAAAAATGTTAATTGAAAAAAAGTGTCATGACTAAGAAAAGTTTTGGAAACACTGCACTAACCCATAGGAACCATTGACTATCCCCTAGTCCAGTCTTTGTCAGGCGTGCACCTGTCTGATAACCTGCACCTGTCTGATAACCATGGCAATTAATAGTTAAGAATTTGTAATTCTCCTGCCTGCAATAGATTTCTGTAATGCCATCTTTTAGTAAACTGTGTTTCCATCTCGTATGTTTTACTTGCGTTTTGTTTTCAGTTATATTTGGGACCAAATTTATGTTACGAAGTCAAGGGACTTGCAGCAGCAACTGTGTATGCATTTAGGATTCAGGTGAGTTTTTTTAATAGCATTTAATTTCAGTGGCGTGATGCTTATCTGATGGTCTGAAAATCAAGGGTTTAAATCTGCAATATAGTGGATTTCAAAAATTAAGTTTGGCTTCCAGCCTGTCCTAAAAATAGTCTTAGGAAATGTATTAGAAAGTAAACATGGTTACTGTAATATTGGGTTTGTTATAAAAACTATGGGTTCTTTTTTTAATATCGTACCCCAAATGACGTTACAAGACAGTCCAACATTTTAGAAGATAGTAAGACTGGGTTTTATGTCTTTCTGATGCTTTTAACGACTGCAAAAAATCTAGAACTGGCCCTAACCCCAACCCACCTACGTCCCACGAGAGAGTGCAGTCTAGGTGCCACAACCTCATGCAGCCTATCTACCACCCCCTAAAATGTTAGACTGTCCCGTGTGCTGTGGATTTCCCCTGTTTGGGGTAGGATATTAATAAAGCACCAAAGTATGGTTGTACTCCATATGCCTGATGCCCCTAAAGCAGGGTTACTTTGAGGGCCAAAATGTTGACGGGGGGATCATCACAGCACAGAGGTCCGAGCTCCGCCATAAACAGATCAGTACAACAGGCACAGACCTGTGGGTAAATGCGAGCTGCCAGCAGGAAAAGGTCCTGCTCTAAAGGCCTACAAAATGATTCTAGCATGTGTTTTTTTTTTTTTTTACTTTATATTTTTCTGTTTGTTAGCATTCTCATTAAGAAGATGAGAAATATTTACATCTTAAAAGATCTGAACATCAAGGAAGATTGGCTAATAAACAGCATCCTTTCTCGAAAGCTGAAATATTTTGGTCATATCAAGCGTCACGACGGATTGGAAAAAAATATAGCAGAAGGCATGGTACCAGGAAGGAGGGGCAGGGGCCGACCGACACGAAGATGGGCACAGGATTTAAGTGACTCCTTGAGTGTGAAAGTTCATGAGGCGGGAGAACTGGCGAGAGACCGAGTTTCTTACAGGCAGACTGTGATGAGAGCTACGTTCTGCAAAGGACCTGCTACATGATGATGATGTTAGCATTCACTGGCTGTAAACCCCTGCAGAAAGCTCTGGTTGTTCATCCATGGACTTTTTTCAGTTTTACTTGCTCATCAGTTTTACAGATCTGGCTTATTTATATGCAGACTGTTGGTTCCTCGCCTCTCAGGCAAAAGCACAATGATTTCAAAGAGAGAACTCCAGCGATACCGCCTACCTACTCATAAACCCTACAGACCACTCACTCACCAACTGTACACCTCACTTGCCAGTATTGGAACACACCTGCTTGTCACACATACAACTGACTCACCTAACAGCCAACAGTTAGGATTAAGAAGATTAAGAGAGAAAAAAAACAGAAGAAAGAAGTAAAAATGGGTATCAGGTGAAGTCCTTAGAAGTAAAGGCGGCTGACGTATTGTTGGCCCACATAACCCAACTGTTAGACCTGGTTCATTTTATGTTTTTCGGCCCAGAAAGAGAGTTACTTCCCTTCCTATTCATGCCTTGTCGGGTTGCAAGGCCTCTCCTATGTTGCAGGGGTGTTATGTATTCCTTATTGTCAACGCTTTAACCATTGTCTCTTTTCTAGTGTCGTCACCGCTCACTTGCGTAATTATTTTCACATTCTGCTACCTGCACGATGGTTCAGGACTATGGAAACAGTGATAGTTTTCTGTTCCTACGTTCCTATTAGTGCTTTTTTTCTCGGTGTGGGGGGGGGGGGGGGGCACCGCCAACGAACGTAGAAATACGAAAAGATCTGTTTTAATACTGAAAAATTGTCGTGCCTGCTGCTCTTCCTCTGGCAGTACTTCTTACTTGCACCTAGAGTCACAATCTCCCACAATCTTAATATACGGCAAGCAAACGCCACACCAGTCCCTACCATAACACCCCCGCAACATAAGGAGAGGTCCTGCGACCCAATAAGGCATGAATGGCAAGGGAAGTTACTCTCTTTCTAAGCCGGGAAATGCAAAATGAACTCAATCGGCACTCAGTGGAGGATGTGGTCAACATCACCCTGGCTGCCTTTACTTCCTGGGGCTCTACATGGTACTCATTCAAGGCTGGATCGACGTGCAATTTAATATCATTTTAGTAGAAAACATCCAGCACCATTCAGATATGAACCCATGGCCTTCGAATCTGCAGGTGAGCATTAGCCGTTACACCCATCTTGACTATAGTCGCCCCCTTGTCAACATAGCCCTATCTAACCAGTGGCAGCTGTCATCGTGTAGTGGCTAGATGCCCGCCTGTGGATCCGAAAGTCACAGGCTCAGGTCCAGATAGAGGCAGACATTTTTTTTTTCAAAAATGACCATCCAGGTCCACTCAGCCTGAACTCTTTGAGTCCCAGGGGGTTTAGCATCAGAGGCCCAAGGGGTAGTCAAGAGAGATGTAAAATTGGCGCATCTTGCGTTTATTGTGCCTCTAGTCGGGACCTATGAACCTATGATGCGTTTCTTGGGACTCAAAGAGTTAGTTACCGGATAAAATCCTGGGAAGTAAAGTCGGCCAGCGTGGCGTTGATCACATCACCCATCGAGTGCCAATTTCTGTAAAATATAAGACCAGCCCTATATGCCCAAAAACCTGAAGGTGTGGAAAAGGACCAATCCAACTAGGCAACCCACACAATAGTCAGCCATTCTATTTCCTGTGATTCAGGCAATCAACAGTGCCGGTCCTGGCCAGTTTTCTCCCGCAGCCACGTTGGTGACCCCCGCCTCGACCCCCTCACCCGTGGCTACAGTGAAAGTTAAGGCCGATGCCACATCTGCAGTGGTGTCCTGGACCGAGCCAAACTGCAACGGCAGCGAGATCACCTCCTACAACATAATAGTCAATGACAAGCCCCCGGTCACGCTGGGTCCAATTACAGAGTATTCTATGGAGGATCTTCACCCAGAGACTGTATACAAGTAGGTCAATGTATCTTTTATAATGTTTCTTTTTGTTAAGTTAAAGATGGTCAGCATAGCTCAATTATTGTTTACACTCATTGTATCACTTCTTGTTTACGCTCATTGTATCACTTATTGTTTACACTCATTGTTAACACTCATTGTATCACTTATTGTTTACAATCATTGTATCACTTCCATGAAACATCTGTATTATTTTTCAAAGCCGTGTAAGTCTTAAAATAAATTGGATTTATATTTTTTTTAAACTGTATAAATACCTGGCTATCAAGCTAATTCAGGATGGCAGAGTCCCACAGGACATCCTTTGTGGTGATTTAAAGACAGGTAGATGTTGAGGCTGACCTCTACTACGATTTAAAGATGTGTGCAAGCGGGATATGAATGATACAGGTATAGAGTTGGACTGATGGGAACAAACATGCCATGGACCGTGTTGTGTGGAGATGGCATATCAGGAAGGGAATGAGAGGGAAGGAAGAAATCATTGCAGAAAAGATGAGAGCTGAGTGTCTGAGAAGAAACGGATTAAACACAAATGTTGACAACAATGGTACTGAAATCCCATGCTATCATTGTGGACAACTTCTCTTGACACGGGCGGGTCTTGCTAGTCACACTCGCCATCGCCATGATTGCCAATCAATCAGTCAAAACTAATTCACTTATTTTTACAGTTTTTATAAGTGAAGGATCATCAAGTTTGCCTATTTATTGCGAGCATTGAAAGCTGACCGTTCAGAAAGCAAGGGCAAACTATTTAAAGTAATATCGGTTAGTAAAACCCTCATAGCTAAAATATGCTGGGGTTAGTTCTGCGCAAATTATCCTTGTCATTGAGAGTTAGAAAAAGAATTCTTGCTTGCTACATACATCCAGTTTTAACATATGGCTGTGAATCCTGGACAATCGGTAGGCAGGCCAAACAATTTCTGGAGGCCTCAGAGATGTGGTTTTTACAGAAGAATGCTTAGCATACCTTGGACAGCCAAAAAGAGCAACCAAGAGGTTTTGAAAGAGGCGGGAGCCCAAAGACAACTCATCACAGACATCAGAAGGAGACAGTCATCATTTTTCGGCCATGTTATGAGAAGAGGGAAAATAAAACGTGTTGTGACCACTGGAAAGATCTGTGGAAGGAGGGATAGAAGAAAAGAGATGCTTGACAGTCTTGTTGCATGGCATGGAGGTGTGTCGGCAAACGAACTGATACATGCTGCAGGAGATCGTGGATTATGGAGAGGCATGATCGGCCACGCCAGTCGGCAAGGCACCTGATGATGATGGTGGTTCCTCAATGGTCTATCAGCTATCTTGATTATTTAATGGAACACGGTTTCCAGGGTTTCCTGTTTGATTATCCTTCCTGAGATGTTGACTCCCACAGGCTGAAGTCTTTTTGTTAATTTAAAACAAAAAATACCATGACGTTAACCTTTTTTTTTAAAAACTGAAGCTGTTGTGTGGTTAAGTCACTTTGGTATGTGAGGAGTTAATGAAGCCAAGGATTAGCCCAGGGTTACGGAAGTGTGAGGGCATATTGTTCTTGATGAGTTGTTGGTGTAAACACTTGGACCACTGCAAGATGAAAAATGTTTGGCTTGAAATTCTCAGCGGGACTGTGAACCTCGGGCTGTACAAGGAGAGTGAGAGATCCATGTTGATCTAACTGCTGTTGAGAGAAATATGTGGCTGGTTTGATTCAGTAGCTGTCAATGCTTGAGATAGGAGGGTCCTGTTGTAGTGTTCTTTGACACTTTTGATGTTTTCTTTTCATTGTTCTGCCCAGGATTCGAATTCAAGCTGTAAACAGTGTTGGTGTAGGGGCATACAGTTCAGCAGTGAAGTTTTCCACCAAAGCTCAGCCTCCTGTACCACCTCACCTGGAGTGTGTCATGCTAGCTTCCTGCTCCATCAAGCTCAAGTGGGGAGACGGCAGGAACTCGGATCATCTCACGTACACTCTGGAAATGGGGAAGGACCAGGACAGGTAACTTGTTTAGTTTGTGATGACATCACTGATTGACACTGACAAAGTTCTTTTGATCTCCTTCTCCATCTCCTGTTAATGTTTACCGGTTGTAAACTCCGGCAGAAATTTCTGGTTTTCATCCATTTCTGAACTTTGACCTTGTTCTAGAAGTTGAGTTTTGCGTGCACATCTGTTTTATAGATCTGGCTTATTTGTGTGCAGACTTCTGATCCCTCGCATCTCAGACAGATCCACTCCCACTTTGGAAGGAACAATTCTGATTAGTCAACTTTACAACATATTGGTCAGGGGGAAGCAGTGAGTCTGTTCATTCTTCCATCTTTCTGCAGACCCCACTGGGAAATTTGGCTATCCTCCGACTAACGGTCGGCAAAGATGGCGGCCGCAAAATATTCAGTCGAGCCACAGTCACCTGTCAATTGCGCGCTTCTGGCTACTTAATTTTGCGGTCTTCCAACTGTTTTCCACCAACAACCGCTACCGCCACGTGGCTCCCGCATCTCCTGCAGCCTTGCTCGTGAGTCCTAGCCCTCTAGTTTAGTCCCAATCCACGCCGCATGAGCGGCGTGGGGCCACGTGGCGGTAGCCATAGTCGCCGGAAAAGCGCACATTAAGTAGCCAGAAGAGCGCAGTGCATTTGACACGTGACTGTTTTTTCGACTGAAAATTTTGCAGCCAACCGTTAGTCGGAGGATAGCCGGAAATTTACTTAAAGTAAACATTGTCTAGAACAGTATGAACTAATTTATATCTGCCAGGTACTTGAAGCCTCCAAGAATGAGAAATGACACTGTAGGACAGACTACAGGAAGAACAATGTGCACCAGTTTCATTTAGAAGTAGAAGATCAAATTGTTTGGTATTTTGTCCGAATGCCGCAACAACTACCAGTAAAGGTGCTAAACCTAAGAAGATCTAGCTTTATATCAAGAGGGCGGCCAAGGAGAAGATGGATTGATAACATTAAAGACATTCTACAATGACACAGAATGACAGTGGCCATTGCTGCCCATCAGGCAATAGATCCCAATTTGTTCTTCCTCCACGACACCTAATGGCAAAGGTGGAAATTGACTTTGACAGAATGGCAAAGGTGGAAATTGACTATGACAGAATGTCAAAGGTGGAAATTGCCTGTGACAGAATGTCAAAGGTGGAAATTGCCTGTGACAGAATGTCAAAGGTGGAAATTGCCTGTGACAGAATGTCAAAGGTGGAAATAGCCAATGACAGAATGACAAAGGTGGAAATAGCCTCTGATGGTGACGATGGCTGAAAGAATTAATGATCCCCTGTATACTAAGAATTACTAAATAATAATTTTTATATGTCCTGATTTTGTTCTTTACAATGATTGTGAGTGGGCATTGAAAGAGCACTGCTCAGCTCGATATTCTTACCAGTATCAGACATTGTCTTCAGAAGATAGAAGGACATTAGTCATGCAGAAAGGAAATGATTACGTATTATGCTAGGTGTGACAAGAAAAGACTTAGGAACAATGATATCGGAAGGAGATATTGCACAAAACCAATAGTGAACATTCTTGGTAGACAACAGGTAAAATGGTTTGGCCACATAACAAGATTGGCAACAGACAGGAAACCACAGAGCAGTGTTATACAGATATAACGGTAACAGATCCAGAGGTCAAACTCACAGAACTATCAGAGACACTGAAAATACTATATGCAAGGCCAACAGAAGGGCCCATTCCAGAGATCTCTTCCTGCCGTGACGCTGTGAGGCATTCCAGAAGTGGAGAAAAGAACACGTTGATATTTTGATGCCTCAGAAGTGGCGCTGTTTGGTCATTGTTGTTGCTGAGTTTTGCTATCTGTGGGGTGTTTTCCACCATCTCACTGCTTGCTTAGGTTTTTAAGTTTCTGATGTGGTTTTTTCCCCCCAGCTGTTGTAGCTTTCGGCATTCATTGTTTCTTCTTCTTTCTCTTGTGTTGCTTGTGCTTGTTTTTAGTTTGGCCATTTGAAGACCCTTTGTGATAACGTTATCTCATCTGACATCTATCTGTTTGTGTGTACAGCTTCCAGCCGGTCTACACGGGACCAGCTCAGACCCACAAGGTGACCCGGCTGACCGAACTGACCAGCTACGAGTTCCGGATTGTTGCCACCAACGATGCAGGCAGTGGACCCTACTCGGACACTTACACCTTCACCACCACCAAGGCTCCTCCACCTCCGCTCAAAGGTTATTTTTATTGTTATTATTGTTATTATTATTTGTCCTCCTCTCCATCTTCTTCTCCCTCTTCTTCTTCTGCTGCTACTGCTTCTTCTTTCCTTCTTTCATTCTTATAGCTTCTTTGAATGTTGAACAGGGTATCTTTGACCTGCATTATTGGCTTACATCCAGATTTAGATTTTGTAATCTCAGGATGGTCACACCTTCAGGCATCAGTCCGGAGGGGGTAAATAGAAGCAATTTCACTGATTATTTCTTGTTCTCCGCTTAATATTTTTCCTAATAGACACAAGATGCAAAAGAACCAGTGCACTTATATAATACCAACTAACGCTGTCACCAAGACATCCAAACATAATGATCACCACCAAGAAACAGATTATAAACAGTAGACTCACACCAAGACTGTGCTGTCAGTGCCAGACATGGACATTATCCAAGGCTAACCTAAGTGAAATCAGATGTCTGAGGAAAGCCGGTAACCATCCGAGACAAAATGAGAAATGATATTGTCTTACATACTGTGGGAACAACGTCATGCACCAATGTCAATTAAAAAGATCAAACGGTTTAGTCATTTCATTCAGTTGCAGCCAGAGCAACCATCAGCATAGGCACTATACACGGATTTTTATGTGAAAGCAAGAGGTCGCCCAAGGAGAAGATGGATTGATGACAAAGGCATTTTGCATTGACACGGAAGGACATTAGCCATGTGCAGTTAATGGATTGTCACTTTATCCATCAGACAGTGGATCATAAATTGTTCCTTCCCATGGCACTTAATGGCAGAAGTGGAAATTGATGATGAATATTGGTTCCCTGATAAAGGTTATGTCCCTGTCTGTTTACAGCACCCAGAGTCACAAACTTGACCCTGCATGGATGTCACCTTGACTGGCAGGCAGCCAAGCCAATGAGTGGTGACCCGGTGACCTACATTCTACAGCTTCTCTGTGTCAATGTTCGGGATGCAGAGTACAAACAGGTAAGGCTAGGATGTCTTTTTTCTGATCAGTGCAGCCCGGAATCAACCAGATTTCATTTTTGTCATGTGTACTAGGTCTTTTTCTCCTCTTCCTTCATTACCTCGCTGAAGAATTGGGGGAAGATGTACGGATCTCCTGTGCTCCCATTGTATATGTTCATCTTCTTTTCCTGAAGACAGTTCTTCATGTTCCCGTTCCATATTTTGTGTGGTCTTCTCCTAGCTCTATGTGCACTATATATCTTTTTCACCCTGGCTATCTGTGGCAGTTGGTGATGCCAAAACATTTTCATTGGATTGTCAGACCATATATTTTACTCTTTAGCGATTGTGTGATTGGTTTCAACCCTAGTCTCCCGATTTCTTCATTTCCCCATTTCCAGAATTTCTGGGAGGTCCTAGTCGTCTTCTAACTTCTTCAGTTCTCTACGTACTAGATAGTTTCCTGAATGTTTGGGGAGGAAGGAAACAAGTCACTTTACCTTTTATTTCAGGGCTATTCAACTAGCGGCCTGCGGGCCACGTCTGGCCCGCAGAAGCCTAGCAAGTGGCCAACGGATCATTACCATATGTATTGTATTAGTGTTGTTCCTTTGCAACGATCTCCATGTCCAACAGTTTGGCCCCTGAGTAGACTTGGATGTATTATTCTGTTACATGTCATGACCCAGAATGGATGAAGGCCCAGCACTTCACACACTCGGTGTGTCAACTTGTTGCTACCTACCAAAGAAGGTGATAGAGCATGTCTCAGACATTCCTGTATGTAGTGGGACCAGTTCTTCATTTGTTAAGGCCAATACATTTACTCATTCATGCATTCGTTCATCTTGTTAATTTATTCCTCTTATTCATTTGTCTCATTCATTCCTTCACAATATTTATTCATCTCATTCATGCATGCATCCCATTTTTTCATCTCATTTATTAATTTCATTGACACATCTCATTTGGTAATCTTATTCGTCATTCACCTTATTCGGTTAATTCACCTTCATTGACCCCATTTATTCATCTAATTCAGTAAATCGTTTTTGTTCATTCATCACGACCCTTTTCCACAATTTCAGGCATATTGGGCATATAGGGCAAGACCTATATTTTATAGATCATTTGGCACTGGGTGGGTGATGTGACTAGCAATATGCTGGCCACTTTTACTTCCCAGGACTGTACCTGGTACCCACTCAGGGCTGGGTCGACCTGGGAGTCAAGGTTATTTTTGAAAACAATCAGGCTCCATCACGACCCACGGGGGTTGTCTGTTCATTCATCTTCTTCTTCTTTTCTCTACTCCTGGAACACCTCGTGGCATCAGGGCAGGAAGTGTGGAACACCTCATGGCATCAGGGCAGGAAGTGTGGAACACCTCATGGCATCAGGGCAGGAAGTGTGGAACACCTCATGGCATCAGGGCAGGAAGTGGGGAACACCTCGTGGCATCAGGGCAGGAAGTGTGGAACACCTCATGGCACCAGGGCAGAAAGTGTGGAACACCTCATGGCATCAGGGCAGGAAGTGTGGAACACCTCGTGGCATCAGGGCAGGAAGTGTGGAACACCTCGTGGCATCAGGGCAGGAAGTGTGGAACACCTCGTGGCATCAGGGCAGGAAGTGTGGAACACCTCGTGGCATCAGGGCAGGAAGTGTGGAACACCTCGTGGCATCAGGGCAGGAAGTGTGGAACACCTCGTGGCATCAGGGCAGGAAGTGTGGAACACCTCGTGGCATCAGGGCAGGAAGTGTGGAACACCTCGTGGCATCAGGGCAGGAAGTGTGGAACACCTCGTGGCATCAGGGCAGGAAGTGTGGAACACCTCGTGGCATCAGGGCAGGAAGTGTGGAACACCTCGTGGCATCAGGGCAGGAAGTGTGGAACACCTCGAGGCATCAGGGCAGGAAGTGTGGAACACCTCGTGGCATCAGGGCAGGAAGTGTGGAACACCTCGTGGCATCAGGGCAGGAAGTGTGGAACACCTCGTGGCATCAGGGCAGGAAGTGTGGAACACCTCGTGGCATCAGGGCAGGAAGTGTGGAACACCTCGTGGCATCAGGGCAGGAAGTTTGGAACACCTCGTGGCATTAGGGCAGGAAGTGTGGAACACCTCGTGGCATTAGGGCAGGAAGTGTGGAACACCTCGTGGCATCAGGGCAGGAAGTTTGGAACACCTCGTGGCATCAGGGCAGGAAGTGTGGAACACCTCGTGGCATCAGGGCAGGAAGTGTGGAACACCTCGTGGCATCAGGGCAGGAAGTGTGGAACACCTCGTGGCATCAGGGCAGGAAGTGTGGAACACCTCGTGGCATCAGGGCAGGAAGTGTGGAACACCTCGTGGCATCAGGGCAGGAAGTGTGGAACACCTCGTGGCATCAGGGCAGGAAGTGTGGAACACCCTCGTGGCATCAGGGCAGGAAGTGTGGAAAACCTCGTGGCATCAGGGCAGGAAGTGTGGAACACCTCGAGGCATCAGGGCAGGAAGTGTGGAACACCTCGAGGCATCAGGGCAGGAAGTGTGGAACACCTCGTGGCATCAGGGCAGGAAGTGTGGAACACCTCGTGGCATCAGGGCAGGAAGTGTGGAACACCTCGTGGCATCAGGGCAGGAAGTGTGGAACACCTCGTGGCATCAGGGCAGGAAGTGTGGAACACCTCGTGGCATCAGGGCAGGAAGTGTGGAACACCTCGTGGCATCAGGGCAGGAAGTGTGGAACACCTCGTGGCATTCAGGGCAGGAAGTGTGGAACACCTCGTGGCATCAGGGCAGGAAGTGTGGAACACCTCGTGGCATCAGGGCAGGAAGTGTGGAACACCTCGTGGCATCAGGGCAGGAAGTGTGGAACACCTCGTGGCATCAGGGCAGGAAGAGATCTCTGGAATGAGCCTTTCTGTGCGCTTTATGGAAAGTACTTTGCAGTGTCTCTGATATTTCTGTGGTCCATCTTCTGCATGGTCGACCTCTGGCTCTGTTACTGTTGTATCTGTATAACATTGCTCTCTTTTTTGCCCTGTTGGATTCCATTCTTGTTACATGGACAGACCATTCAACACATTCAATGAATTCACCTCTCCACCCCCACCCAATTAATTTGTCTTATTTATTCCCTCATCTCATTCAGATTTACAAAGGACCACACACAGAATATCAGTTGGACTCCCTACAGCCTGGCCAGGAGTACCAGGTCAGGGTTGCCGCTGTACGTCTTTCTTCAGATGGCTCCGGAGACATCACCGGAGCCTTCAGCCCCGGTGTCATCTTCTCACCACGGGCAGCCGAGTCCCAGAGAGCTGCCTCAAACCCTGTGCTGGGCCAAGTTGAGAGACGAGAGGAGAGGAGACCCTGGTCAGACCAACAATACGCTGCTATGATTCTTTGCATCTTTGTTTTGTTAGCCATCGTTTCTGCCTTCGTGTGTCAGCAGTTGATCAGTTATATGTCCGGCTCCGAGACCACGGCGCCATCCACTTCCACATCAACCACACTTGGGACAGGGGACTCCACCGAAGCATAAATCCACATTGGGACAAGGGACTCCACCGAAGCATAAATCCACATTGGTACAAGGGACTCCACTGAAGCATAAATCCACATTGGGACAAGGCTCCACTGAAGCATAAATCTACCCTTGGTACAAGGGACTCCACTGAAGCATAAATCCACATTGGGACAAGGGACTCCACTGAAGCATAAATCTACATACGGAACAAGAGATTTCGCTGAAGGAAATATCCACATTGGCACAAGGGACTCCACAGAAGCATAAATCTACATATGGGACAAGGGACTCCACTGAAGCACAAAATTTAATTAACAGTTAATGTTCAGTTTTCTGAAACAAATTTATTATACAAGGTCCGACAATTAAATAATGAGACTGATTTTATTATGGCCAAGACAAAAATGCTATCTATGAATCAAAGTATGGAATCCAAAGAGGCAACCTTCTGCTCGATAAGCAGAGAATAAATAAGCCGCCATTTTGTTAATCTAGTAAGAGGTGCATTGTTAATCAGCATGGAACAAACAAAAAAAAGCTAACATTAAATTATGTTTAAAACTCAGAAAAAGCGACAGTTGAATTGATGCAACAAGTTTATGGGGATAATTGTTCATCTCGTGCACAGATTTTCAGCTTGTATTCACAATTCAGAAGTGGTGTGGAAATGATTACTAATACAACTAGACCTGGACACTGTTCGTAATGAGGAACTCATTTAAAAATTCCGAGAACAGATACAAGAAGATCGTTGTTCGACTGTGAGGGTGATGGTAGATGAATTTGGTGTTAATACAGAGACGATTCGTAAAATTTAAGTGGAAGATTTGGGCCAAAAAAAAGTTGCTTGTCGGTTTGTATTCAATACCTGGCTTTTTTTGTCCTTCTTCATGACAGTGCACCAGCTCAAAGGGCGGTAGTTGCACAGGAATTTTCGCTCAAAAACAGATGCGTGTTCTTAACCATCCACCCTATTCCCCAGATTTGTCCCCCTGTGACTATCTTCTATTCCCAGAATTAAAGTTTCTATTGAAAGGACGCTTCTTTGACAATATTGATAGCATACAAAGGGCCATAACATCAACTTTAAGGGTCATAACAATAGAAAAACTACAGAGGTCGTTCCAATGTTTGTTAGATCGTGCCACTCGCTGTATCAATGCACAAGGGGCTTACTTTGAATAAAATACAGGTTTATCTTCAACTGTTGATTATTTTAATTTTTATGGAATTAATTTCATTTTTTAATTGTCGGACCTTGTATTTATGATTGTTTTTTTAAAGTTGCTTGACTTTTTTCACTCACATCACATTCTTCTTTTTATTAAATCATAATGTGGTTTGACTTTTCTGACCAGTATTTTATCAGTTGCTTAATTTGAGTTGACCAAATATAATTTTAACACTCACTAGTAATTGTTGTTTTAACTGATTAACTACAGAGCAGTGCAAGATTAACTTTCATCTTGAATCCAAACCAGCGTTTCATATGTTTATTGACATTTTATATTTGGCTTAGCATACTAAAGAAATCTGGCTTGTATAGACATCACTTCCATTCTTTAAATGTTTCAGTAAATTTTTTGTTTTGTTTTTAGTTGTTTCAACATGATCATTTCTTGTCTCAAATGATTTACAGTGGCTTCTAAAGGGGTTCGGCTAATAACGCTGTTAAAGTCAATTACTGTCACAGCTGGGATTGTGTACAGTTGATGTAACGAACGAACAAACTTTATTTTCAAAGAGTTACAAATTAGGCACGCAGGCCTGTCTTACATTCGGCCCTTCCAAACTTCCATCTTTCACACAGCAGTTGTATTTCATCAATGAAGCATGTTATATTCATGTAATGATATACATATTATGGATATGAAGTCAAAAACAAAAGCATGGGTGGTAAAATATGTGCGCACGCTCACGCGCGAACACACACACACACCCACATACACACAAGCCTAATCACTCACTTACACACAAACACATAGGCACCCAGTACACACATACATCCACATACACACTGCTGGATAAGATACCTTGAGTCAAGAAAAGTGTATCTAATATTTCTGAAGACGAACCAGTTAATGCAGTGGTCGACAAATCGCGGCTCACGAGCCACGTACGCCTCTTACGTACGCCTGAGTGTGACTCAGCCAGTCTGCCACAAATCGGTTGTGACTCCAAAAAACACTGTTCTTGACAGGTTCTTGACAAGTTCTTGACAAGTTCTTGACAGGTTCTTGGCAGGTTCTTGGCAGGTTCTTGGCAGGTTCTTGACAGGTTCTTGACAGGTTCTTGACAGGTTCTTGGCAGGTTCTTGGCAGGTTCTTGGCAGGTTCTTGGCAGGTTCTTGACAGGTTCTTGACAGGTTCTTGACAAGTTCTTGACAAGACATTTGGCTCTCACATTTTTTGGTTGACCTGCTGCAGATTTTTTTGTTTTGCTCTTTCAATTAAAGTATTTGCCAACCACTGAGTGAATGCATGAGTGGTGACTTTGCACTATTTGAGTTAAAAACTATTTATATTTCTCCCATTGATTATCTGCTATCAAACCTTCCAGTGGGGGAGCCAGTCAGACATGATTTGTAGCATGTTTTTCTGTCTTCATATTTTTACTGTAAATTATTTGAATTGGGTTTGGTTTATTATTTTAACTTTTATTTGTTTTGTAATCCAACTCCTGAAGTTTGTTATTTATCTGTGTTATTTGTTATTAAATGCTGATATGTACAGTTATTATTGATGGATTATTATACAAGAAGCCTGTCTGAGTTCTTGTAAGTTCCAGTTATATGTTTTGGTGTATTGAGGCACTTAGTCATCATCATCAAGTGCTATTGAAGGTTGGCTGTAATAAGACAACAGACTGCCTTGCGTTGGTTTTGACAAGGGTATCAAGAGCTGGCCATTCAGAGGTCACTGGCAGACTCATCACAAATCAGGTCAGCAGGTTGTTTAGTCACTCTTGTCCTAGCGAGCCTGGTCTATTTGTGCAGACTGTTGGTTCCTCGCCTCTCGGGCAGATGTACTCTGATTTCAGAGGAAACATCTCTTTTTAGAAGATTCCTGTGACATGCTTGTTGTGGGGACCGTGGGTCAATTCTTTTTTTTGTCTCCACACTGGGACCCTGGAACCCACATTAGGAGTGTTAATCTGATGTGACCCAGTTATGCTGTCCTTGGCATGCCTCTCGTTCAGGTATGTTCAACAATTTTTCTATGCCAGCCAAAATTTGTTTATCCTGGTTAGGGCTGTACCGAATAGTGATTTTTTTCCTATTCAGCCGAATACAAATAACGGGACCAAATATTCGGCCGAATACAAATAGTGTGTATGAAAATAAATTCACCCCCCCCCCCCCCCCCCCCCCCCCCCCCCCCCCCCCCCCCCCCCCCCCCCACCCCCCCCCCCCCCCCCCCCCCCCCCCCCCCCCCCCCCCCCCCCCCCCCCCCACTCCTCCCCAAAAAACACATTCATAATGTCAAATGTACGCTGAACTTTTACTTCACATAAAGTAGCACAGAATAGTTATCTTCTTCTTTAGCATTCTGAGCCCTTGAGGTTTACTGCTGCAGACTGTTCTTAAAAACCTGTAATAAGGCCTCATCTTTTTCATTTCTGCTTCAAGTTTCAGAGCCATATAAAACGACTGGTCTTATCATTTTTTATATTTTGATCTTCTTCTTGTGAGACAGCACTTTGACTTTAGCAGATGTTGAAGAGCATAGTATACTTTATTTCTAGATTGCATTCTAGATTGTATTTCTTCTCTCAGCATGTTGAAGTTGAAGTTTGCACCCAAATACTTATATGTTTCCGTTCATTTGATTTTCATATTATTGACTTGGATGTGGCCGGAGTTTATATTCTCTCCGTGTCTCGTTAGTATTCGTACAGAATAGTGAACATTAAAAAACATTTTATGTTGTGCATCCTTCAGTCGGTCTGTGGTAACTAGTAACTAAGAATGAAAAAATCCTAAGTATTATAACAAGTAACTAAACTTGGAAATTGTCACTGACAGCTTAATTAATGCATGAAAGCTGCATTAGCTTTCAACAAAACCAATCGTTCCATGTTATCAGTATTAAGGAAGCGGGAGAACTGGTGAGAGACCGAGTTTATTTCCAGCAGCCTGTGATGAGAGCGACATTCTGCAAAGGACCTGCTACATGATGATGATGATGCAGAAGCGGGTGTAAGGTTACTATTATTCGTATTCAGCCTGGCCACAACTATTCAGCCGAATACCAAATAGTCAGTATGTCCACTATTCGACGCCGAAGTGAATACAAAGCGAATATTCGGTACAGCCCTAATCCTGGTTAGCAGTTTTGTATGCCGGTCAATATTTGTTTGTATACTAACTCACAAACAGGAGCCACCATAGTGTAGTGACTAAACACCTGTTGGTTCGAAAGTCAGAGGTTCAAATTCCTCATCGAGGTGGATTTTCCCCCCAAAATTGACCTTGGCTTTGAGGTAAGTCAAACCCGAAGTGGATACCACTTAATGTCGTGGTGGGGTGGGGGGGGGGGGGGGGGAATAAAGGTGCCCAGTTTGATGCTGGCCACATCACGCATAGTCTTGATCAGCATTTTCACAAATGATGCCTCTAGCACTTTATACCCGATACACCGAATGCATTTTCAAGAGTACTTGACTTGCTACCTTTTATTTGTAACACACAAATAACATGTTGATGTTGGGGGTTGATATTTCCAAGTTTTTAATGTCAGGTGGCAGTTTTTTGTGTCTATTAATTTTTTACTGTTTTTTTTTTTTTTTCTTGATGTATTTTTAAATTATTTATGCTATATAGTTTAAAATATAAAACCTTGTTAAAAATGACAACTTTTCAGTCCTTTGGAATTCCTGTTTTAGTGTGATAATAATTTTCTGACAGCTTACCCGCAAACCAAATATTCTTCTAGTTCTGATATTTTTTGTTTAGGATGTCATTTTGTTGAATCATCTGTTTTCAAGCGAGCTGCGATATGTCCTCCTCTTCAGCA